TAAATGTAAGCAGTGGATTTAGTCATCAGTAGCTCCTTGATGCTTGTAGCAACAAAAATTCACATTGGCAGTGAAATGAAATTCAGGCTGCACGGGGTGAGGAGTCCTTGGGAAGTGAGTGAGGGCAACAAGCCCCAGCCTTTCTCATCTTTGAAAATAGCATCACCATCCAGCTGTACTCAGGCAAAAACCCAGCAGTCGTTGGGAACCACCCTGCCTGGTATCAGAAGCTGTAACTCCTGCCAAGGCTAAGGCTGAGGGAACAACCTTGGACCCTAAGCCAGCAAGGAGACAAAAGCTTATCTCCCTGGCAGGAGCGCAGCTTCTGCTCCTTTTACTTCACCCTGCCTGGCCCCCAATGCTTGGTCGGTTAGCCAATGATGCGTAAGATTCCCCAAGGGGGGAACAATCTAAGGCACGATCATGCGGGAGGCCCCCAAGGAAGGACTTTGGGGGCTACAGCAAAAGGGGGTGATGGACCCTCGTCCCTTGGCTTTGACATTGGCTGAGTCCTCATTGTCTGCGAGAAAAATCTCCTAATCTCTTGGCTGCCTTACTTCTCTTGCTCCACCCAAGCCTGAAACAATGACAGAGGGTGGAGCAGCCCTGTGCTGGAAAGGGGGGGTTCCCCAGGTGATCAGGCCTAAGAAAGAATTTGTAAAATCCTGTGAAACCTTCTTTGTTTAGAATGCTCTCAATGAAATGATAAGGGTCCAAGCAAAAAGTAGGTTTGTTCCTTAAAGTTTTTTACAGCTCTTTGACCCTGACTCAAAATAGGCCCTCAGACTTCCTTGTTACCTGTTGTTTGATCTTTACTTTCTAGCAATGAGTAATGAGCTTTACCTGAATTCTTATGTAAACAAACCCAATAAAAGCCTGCTCAGGCTGGAGAACAAGGCGCTCTCCCCTAGAGAGATTGGCCGTTTCATCCCTATTTGCCCACAGGACTCGGTTGTCCCTGTGTATGTTTTTCTCGTGTTTTGACAACCCATCCACAGTGTTCTGTGGTCATGGCAGGTTGGTGGTCATGTCAAGCAGTTATCCTTAATTTTGCTCTTTACTTCACAATTCAATCTTACCTCCAAAAGAAACCCCAAATCTGTCCACTTCTAACTTGCCCAAAGAGCCACCATTGTCTCTGTCCTGGTGATAAAAACAGGGTCCCTCCTACCTTACTATCCTGTAACCCATTCACACAGCAGCACAGTGGTCTTTCAAAACTGGTCAATCAGATCATGTCACTGTCCTGTGTAAGACCTTTTCCAGTCATCCCACCTTACTTTTTAAAAAATTGTTAATTTCTTACCCTGCTATACCATACAATCTGTACTGCCTCTTCACTTAATATACTTCTCACTACACTCTACCGCACCAGACTCTTTTCTGTTCCTTAAATAGGTTAAGTTTGTTGCTACCCTTGCACTTGGCTATTCTGTCTCTCATGCAAGGCCAGCTTCATGAATGTGTGACCTGTGTTCATGCTCTGAAAGACCCAGTGATTGGCTTAATGCTCTGCTGTTGCCGTCTTGAAATTCTTCATCTGTGTGTGTGTGGTGAGAAATTTATTTTATGTTTTTAATTGTATTTCTTTTCATTACCATTTATCCCCCTAATACCTCCTCCCCTTGTCTTAAAATTCTTAATACTTTTTGAACTAGGGGCTTTGCTTTTTCATTTTTCACTAAGACCTTCAAATTAAAAAAGCCAGACTTGCTTTCAAGAGTGGTGTTAGCTGGAGGTCCCCTCCTCAGAGAGGCCTTCTTTGGCTGTCCATCCTTCCAAAGTAGCACCTCTCCTTCCAGTTACTTCCCTTCCACTGGAATGCAACAAAAGCTTCCAGAGAGCAGAGAGCTTATTTTGATCCTGCTGTAGCCTCAGTGTGTGGAACATCATCAGTACCCACCATACCTTTATTGAATAAGCTATTGGAAGCAAAAGAAATAGTGTATTGGGTATAATGGAAATTTTAGAACCTATTTGATATTTATACACAATCTGATCAATAATAAATTTATGTGGTGCTTGTCTATACATATAAATTCTGATTTCATGATGAGGTTAAGTGAGATATACCTTCTTCATATTATATTTAAGCTTCATCTTTTTCATTAAAGATTTTGAAGTCTGGATTCAGTGTCTGCTTTTGCTGCCTATGTTATACTAACCAAAAATAATACTTTTAGTGTAGTCTGAAGTTTTTAAAAAAGTGTTGATCTGCCTTCCAATTACATTGTTCTTCATAGATTAGTAAAACATTTTCATTTGTGTCAACTAAATTGACCTTAACTCTATAAAAGAGATAAGGTAGCTATAATGTTTTATTTTACAGTTTGATTTGACTGATTTTTTACACTCAAACTGTGATGAACCTTTGTGAGAATAAGCAAATGATAATCACAGAACTTTAGAGCTAGGAGTAATAACTGAGATTATTTCTTCCAATTATTTCTCATTTTTAGATGAGGACACAAAGTATCAAAAGGCACAGTATGGCAGGGATTTTAATGGAACCTGATCTCTTAAATCAGTGATCTTTATATTTCACCACTGGTCTTCTTTCTATCATTGAGCTAGCCAACTTTTGCTTGCAAAGGGACACTTTTTAAAGAGAATTGACACTCCACTTCTAAAATTGTGCTTTTTAATGTAAATCATGCCCTTTAGGTTTGTTAAGTAAGTGGCTGAATAAATGAGAAGGAAGGAAGGGAAGGAGGAAGGAAGGGAGCAAGGAAGGGAGGAAGGGAGGAAGCAGCGAGGGAGGGAAGGGGAGAGGGAGAGAGGAAGGAAAGAAGGAAAGGAGATAGATCTAGTGAAATTAATTACTATTAAAATCTACATAAATAATTTATTTGGATCTTTAAGCTTTTATCTTTAACTTCTTTTATGTGTTCCCTCCTTGATGTTTTTTTTAAATTGGGGTTGGGAACGGGACTGACTTGTGTTACTGTGGAGGGACTTCTAACAGGGTAGAACTCCTTTCTGTTGCCCTCCTAAGCAGTAGTAAGTTATTTGATTCATGGGAGAATCTGTTAGACCACATTTGTTGTGGATTTGAGATTCACTCTTTATGTCCCTTTCCAACCTTACTAGTAGAACAAGACAGAAAACCCCAGCTTGTCTACAGGACATACGCAGGGCCCCCAGGCTGTACAACTTCAGGACCTTTGACCTCATGTGCTGGACTTAGGCTCCATGTAGGAAACGGCATGAATAGTACAAGCTTTCTGGTGTGCTCTCTGCCAAGGGAGTATCCCAGTGGGAAGCCCAGAGTTGTCTGACCAGGCCTATGACTAAGGGGAAGGGAGCAAATCTAATCAGTGGTGACTTATTAGCAAGTCCATTATGCTTCACACCTAAGAAAGTCTGGTCAAGCCTGAACTTAATGACTTAACTTGACATTTGAAGTCCTTCTGATTGATTCCTTTATTTCTCGGCTGATACCACATGCCTCTTCCTGCTGCGTTTTAAAACTATGACGACCTTGCTTTTAGGTCTCAGTTGCCAATTAGATATTTATAATATTTTATAATCCACTTAAATCTTGGACATAATGATGTCATAATTATGAAAGTAACTGGACTTGTATGAAGTGTTGCTTAAGCTTAAGAACAAAATGGCAGCTGTGAAAACAGATGAAATAATTAGAGGAAGAAATTATTTCTTTTTGGAGGCTTCAAGATGTCTTAAAAAGTAACTAGTACCAGTTGGCAATAACGTTCTGTTCTCAGAAATTACACTTAAAGAGGGAACATGGATCCCAGAAAAACTCCGCCTGCCACCAAGGGGTGAGCCACTGCACTGCCTAAATAATTGGTCCCTTTTCCAGCAAAATGTGGGTTTGTTGTAAATGAACATGCAGACGTCAGCCATGAATGACTTCAAGTGGGCCCACACTTGCACAACAGCAAACGGATGAGCGAGAGTTCTCAGGGTTGGAGTAGCGCTGGGTTATTTCCTATGACTGACCTTTTCAGAGCAGTGTTCTCTCTTCCTTAGAAAAAGGCCTATAGTGCTGCTTCCTCCATCGACCATCTGGTCACCTCTCAGGATAAGACACATCTGTTTGTAGGTGTGAAATGCAGTTGCTCCAAACTGACAGTAGGCTGCTTAAAATAATAGCTCAAGTTTTGCTTTGAGCTGATCTGTTTTCTAACAGTGTTAAGAGGTTTCTGACTAAAACAGAGAACTAGTGGTAATCAAGACAGGTGAAACAGGGCAGGAGCTGGACTTTGTGTCCTTTAGTTGCCCACTCCCGTGCCCAAGTGGAGTGGACATACACTGTAGACAACAAGATGCTCAAAAACAAGGGTCAACTTCTAAGGGCCCTCGAAAAGCAGGTGGGCCAGTTCAGAAATGTCAGTCTAACCTGCTTAGAAAGTACTGAGCACAGAATGAGTATGGATGGGCTAATCCCTCAGAACCTTCAGAGGGGGCCCAAGACAATCTTCAGATTTCAGTAGCCAGAGAGACCCATCCCTGTAGATTCTGCACCTGACTAAAAACTGAATTGTTCTTAAATGAATTATTAAGGGGCCACTTATCAATTCAGTTCATCATTATCAAGTTGTAGTGAGCCTGAAATACTTATCTACTGAATTTTTATGTGCTAAATTTTATCACTTTATTTAGTTAAAATGTGTTTGTATATAGTCAAAAAATGCCAAAAAAAACTATGTAAATAATCTTCAAAGCTTCCTATCTAAGAGTGTACATACTCTCTTTCATATAGTTGCTTATGTTTCCAATACAATTTGTTTGTCTACCTGGGAATATGCATACCATAAACTTCAGATTAAAAAGATTTTTAAGGCTTTCACAAGTCATACCAAAACGTTTGTGTAAAATAAAATAGCTTGAGGTCATTGCTTCTGACCACGCGCACAGCCTGCCCTCTAGTGTTTCTTTCTAAATCCTACCAAGTTTCAAACCACACTCCTAATCTCAAAATGCTAGCTAGGTTAACAGGATTAAGAACTGTGTCATCAAATTCAAAGAACAAGGTTAAATACCTGACACATATTAAAATTAAATTAGAGAAAAGTGAAGGTCCTTCCAGGAGCTGGCGGTAACCTCTCCAGAGAGATACTATACTTCGAAGTTAGTGGTAAATATATTTAAGATTCATTTGGTAAATAGGGTCACAATAGAGAGATAAGAGTTACTTCAAATGATAGATGTAGATGTATGTAAAGTGTGATGATAACTTTGTAACTACTAGTACTATGTGATTTTATTACTATATTAAAAAATTCCAAATGTTGATTAATTTCAACATTGATGAAATATTGATGGAATAATGGAAGGTTTTATTTTCCAAAATAGCTAATATACATAAAATGGATAAATACCCCCTTTTGGAAGAGTTAAGATAATGTAACATTTTAGAGATTTAGCTTTACTAAAGCATACAGTTGCCTCACTTTTCTTTGTGAAGTTTTAAACATTTGCATTTGAAATGTTTATAGTTAATGTATATGAAATTAAATCTAAAAGGAGATTCATTATCTGAGAAGAAAAACATTTAACTGTAAACTATTTTTATATATTGATACGCTTTCTAAGTATGAGAAAATGTGCGTGGCTGCTTTGCTTTCATAAAAAAATAAATTTAAAAAAGATGCTTGAGTGTTCAACCATCTAGGTGAAAACTCACTTGAGGATTTAGAGTTGGAGGGGGAAATCCCTCTGATATATCTTAGCTAATTCTGTGTTTGGTGATGTTTATTGTTGACAAGGAAATAAAATGGAATTTGAATTCTATGGTGTCTCGAGCCCTACTGTTCATTACTTTAAATTTCAAGTCCTTCAGATGATAACCTTATTTACTGTCCTAAAGAATGTAAACAAACTAGAGACTTGAGTTGTCTTTTTAAAAAACATTTATATTCTAGGCCTAGGAATTGTCTGAAGTCATAAAGAAAATTTGACAGAAAAATGCTGTGAGTCACCATGTGTTTTCAGTTAGTGCTGACAGAAACCAACCTGACAGCAGGCGTTTGATGCAGGTTTATTTTTCCTTTGCACCAACAGCGGGAACATGACGCTGCCACTCCTGGTGTTTATTGTATATCTGCTGTGGTTGAAAGACTGTCACTGTGCACCTACTTGGAAGGACAAAACTGCTGTCCACGGAGACCTGAAGGGTGTGTTTAGTTTCGTTATCTGTGCCATGTCCTGTTTGCATGTTTGCGTGTCCTGCTGGCATGTACAGTGATTTACAGCTATAAGATAACCGTATTCATTACAGCCTGCTAGTTTCACGGTGAGACGTTCTCAAGGCACTTAAACCAAGTAGACGTGATGCCAAACATCTGGATAAAAATAGAAAATTCCAATTGAGTATCTGAGAACATTCTCATATCCAGATGTTCGCTATCATGCAGATAGAACTTGCCAACATTTTGGCTGCATTTCTTGGTATCATCCAGATGTTTGGTGTCCTCTAAGCTGTTTTAATGAACAGTGAAATTCTTTTCTAGCATTTGAAAAATTTAAACAATTAAAGTAATCTGTGCTGTTATTCTTGAGATAGTGAGAGAATGGGTTATAATGACATTGAATCTGGTTGGTCTGTGCTCATTAACTTCTGACCTTTGTTTGACAATATATGCTTTGGGTACTTAACACTTAGAAAAATAACTTAGTTAAAATGTTGCTTTGTGGGGGCAGCCTGTAGTTAAATTTGGAGGCAAGAATAAGCTCCTTAGGAAGCCACGTTGGCTATTGTGGAGAGAATGACAATGAATTTTATACCCACTACAAGATCATTAAAAGTGTGTAAGACATGTCCAGTAGGCTATTAAAGAATCTTGCACTATATGAAATACTTTTGAGGTATGATGCATCCTAGGAAGGTAATTGAAGCTGAGAGAAAGGGAAATTGTTCACTGGGTTTGAGGTTCCCAGTTGGTGTTTAATATAAATTGTGATGAAAATTCAAAACTCTCTATAATACAAACATGGAAAATGAAAACAGGCCCAGAGGAAATGGCAGGAATGAGGCTAAATGAACGCTGACTTGTCCAAGAGCTCCGCAGTGAGGAACAGAAGGTATTGCCCGCATGGCTGCTGAGTCCATGCGGCGGCTGACTGCTAATTCGTTATGATCTGCTTTCAGAGTCTGATGCTATAAAAGAACAACTAAGCTTCTATTTAGGAGACATAAAAATAAGTGAATTCACTGTATTTTGATGCAGATACCAATACACTGTAATGTGATCAGATCTCAAAGAAAAAAATTACAATATATCTTCTAGGTTTTGCCAAGGCTAGGGAGATAGATGCTGATGAAGAGGTGAAGAAGGCTTTGGTTGGTATGAAGCAGATGAAAATCATGATGGACAGGAGAGAGGAGGAGCATACAAATCTAATGAAAACCCTGAAGAAATGCAGAGAAGAAAAACAGGTACTGGGATTGAAAATAATATCTGTTCTTGAACATATCCAGACCATAAATATTGTACCATAAAGGTAAATTGATTAATTACTTATTTTCCCTAGTAATAGATTTTTTTTTTTTTTTTGGAGAACAGCCCCTATTGAAGGAAGAGTCTGAAGGACATTTTTAATTTCTTTACAGAACATATTCCCTGTAGAACAGGCCTGTGCAGGGCTCCAAACCGGGGATTCTGGGGACTCAGTTCTGTTTGGGAATGCTGCTTTCTTAAAAATGCTGTATCCTCAGTTCCTTCTGAGTTAGGATATTCAGTCAAAAGTGTTCAGGGAGTTTTTGGCTAGATCAGTGGTCTCCAGAGTTTCTGATCTCTATCCCTATTACTAAAATATTTGTTAGCATTCACTCCTAAACATATGCATGTTAATTTATTTATAAATTAGAAACATGACTTGCTACCACTGGCGCAAAATACTTGCTCAAGGCACAAAATACACTTAGGATGAGGTTTGTGGTTAACTAGCGTGGAGGTAGTTTCTATTTTAAATAATCTAGATATTTTGACATTTTTTAGCCCACTTACCAAATCAGATTAGATCGTCATATTTTTTCCTCTGTCACCTGGCCAATAAAGAGCTCAGAATGAAGAAGTGTTGGCTCTGCCTTTGCTGCTTGTCCTTCTGAGCTGAAATTATTCATAACCTGCTGGGGCTTTCTTTTCTTTTTTTTTAGCCTCCTGTCCATTTAGTGAGGACTACTTTAGTTAAAACTAGGCATTAAAAGCCATCATTTAACTGAGTCCTCCTAAATGCAATTCATTGCAATTGGCTGCAAGTGACCAGAGAAAGAGGAAGCCAGTGTCAGTGCTTCTGGATGTGGAGGCCTCTCTTCCCCAGGGTCCTCACACGCCCTTGGCCTTATGCAATCTCCTGACAAAAGTACAATAGACCAGTGTATGTGAAATAGTACACCAGCCTAATCATTTTTAAATTCAAATACCTTTACCTGACAGCTGTGGCTCAAACTATGTATCTTATCAACGGAGCATACACATTATACTCAAATGTCCATGGAAGATGTTAAAAATTGTTCATGGGCCCTGGCTGGTATGGCTCAGTGGATTGAGTGCTGGCCTGTGAACCAAAGAGTCATTGGTTTGATTCCCAGTCCGGGCACACACCTGGGTTGCAGGCCAGGTCCCCTATAGGGGTGGGGTGCATGAGAGGCAACCACACATTGATGTTTCTCTCCCTCTCTTTCTCCCTCCCTACCCCACTTCTAAAAATAAATATAAAATCTTTAAAAAGATAAATAAACAAAACATTTAAAAAATTATTCATGTTGCAATTATAAATCTCAGCCCACCTCTAAATCATAGACATGATTTAGTTTGCATGGCTCATAGTTTAATGGCATTAACCATCAACATAATACTCAAAACAATTAAAATTTTTTAAAAAGTTTGTTTTCCAAAATTACCCTTAAATCAAAGAGGAAATCAAAACTTTAACAAATAGAACTTGGAAAATATTTTAAATTTTAGCAGTGAGAGTAAGTTACTTTTAAAATTTGTTTTCATTAAATAAATTTTAAAATTGTGGTAAAACACATATAAAATTTAACATCTTAATTGTTTTTAAGTGTACAGTTCTGCAGCATTAAGTACATTCACATGGTTGGACAACCAAGCTCCAGAATTCTTTTCATCTTGCAAAACTAAAACTCTCTACCCAGTAAACAACTCCCCATTTTCCTTTCCCAGAGTCTATTTTTAAATTAAAAAATACAAGTAGAGTTTCTAATATTTCCTTCCTACGCCTATAAATTTGGGGACCACCAAGTTTCAGATAGCTGCTAGAATTCTCTTCACTTCTGAGCACTGTGGCCTCCTGGCATCCAGTGAGCAACTGAGGCAGGGTTGTATGACAGGCTGACCACAGAGCTGTGGCTAGGCTGTCACCACACTGGTTGATGTTTTGGCCACACCTACACCCTGCATCCTGCAGGGTCCCTAGCAAGGAAAGGAGATTGCCTGACCAGCAGCTAAAAGCTCTCCTTCCATTTGGCAGCAATCAAAACATTTTTAGGAAATTAAGAATAGCTCCTTTTGAGGAAAATGTGGTAGCCTCTTGAGCTGCAGTCTTCCATGGTGGGCTTGTGAGCCTGGCCACTGGAACCAATGACACCATTACTTTCATTTACAGATAGGGAAACTGAGGTTATAAATGATGTTAATGAATATGTTAATCCAAATGCTGTCATGAACGACCAGGGAGAAAGTTGGCTGGTGCTCTGCCTGTGGGACCTACTGACTTTCTGTTTTTCTCCCTTTCCCCAGCCTCCTGGCAAGCCAAGAGTGCAGCACTATGAAAAGAATGCTCCAGCCCTGGCTGGTGTGGCTCAGTGGATTGAGTGCTAGACTGTGAACCAAAGGGTTGCCGATTCAGTTCCCAGTCAGGACACATGCCTGGGTTGCAGGCCAGGTCCCCAGCAGGGGGTGCTCCAGAGGCAACCACACATAGATGTTTCTCTCCCTCTCTTTTTCCCTCCCTTCCCCTCTTCCTAAAAATAAATAAATAAAATCTTTTTTAAAAAGCTCCAGTTATGGATGGGTCAGGTAAGCAAATGTTGGTTTCATTCTGACCCTGAAGAATCCTATAACCCATAGAATTTTAATTTTTGTTAAAAACTACTTATTAAAAGTTCATTGATTCACACTCTTAAGATCTAGACATTCAATTAAAAAGATAATTTAAAAAATTAGGAGTCTCCCTCTCTAAAATTACTTTAACCCTAGAATAGGGGATACTTCAGACAAACTATGAGCTGGCAAATAAGTGATTGGTGCCCCCAATCTCCCAGGACAGAGCACCACCCATCCTCAGGTGACCCAACATCATCATGGACTGCCCCTCCTCAGCCCCTCCCTACTAATATTTAGTGGGAGTATAGGAAACCTACTGAACTGGAAAACCTTAGTGTGGCTTAAAGTAACTTGCCCCCACTCCAGGTCTATATAAAATACTTGAATTGATGTGGATATTTAGGGGGAAATGGAATGGGCATTCCCAAGCCAGAGATCTACATCCCCTGTGGCAACATTTCCCACCAAAACTTGGGACATGTGATTTGGTATTGGTTTTTGTCATGCTCTTGGGTGTGAGTGGAAGAAAATTGGGAACTACTACAAATCAGTGACAAGGTGAGACAAACTTTCTTGAGAAGTATGGGGTTCCAAAGCTGCTCTGTAAAGCCCAAGGAAACGGGAAAGTCCTGTCTGGGTCACAAGGTACATTTGGTAGGCTGCGGCCCTGCCCGTTTTCTTTTATGGCACATAGCAAATGCCACCTGGCTTAGCCTTAGGATTCTGCCATGAAGGCTGCCGAACCACGTGAGCCCAGCCAAGGAGATGCAGATTTTCAGTGCCCCGGTGTTCTTCGGGCTTAATATGCCAGAAAAGGGTAAATTATTTTTTCCCACTAGGTGAAGATGCACACTAAATTGGTTTTAAGTACAGAAACTTTGTTCCCTCGTGTAATCTTCACTTAAGGGAGTGACCATTAGCTCTGAGGCTGTCTTGTTATGGGGGGGGGGGGGTCCATTACACCCCGTAATTCCCCTAAACTACATCTTGGGCACAGAGGGAGCCTGTCTTCAGAAGTTCACACCTGTAGGGATGCCAGGGGTCTTGGCATGGGTGCCAGCCTGAGAGGAGCTTAGGGGACAAGACTGAGGTTCTTAGGGACAGGGTCACTTCTGCTGGGCTCCTTACCACCCAGAGTGGGACCTGGCCAAGTACACCCAGTCGCCACAAGGTGGAGTGCTTGGAATATGAACCAGAAGAATGAAGATGCTCAAAACAGCATCTTGGCAATTAGAATTATTTATAGGAAGATGTGATTTGATATACAAGAATCGTGCTTTCTTGCAGTTAAAAACATACAAAAATTAAAAGCAGCATAATTGAAAGGAATAAATGCATCAGCTTTCTAAGCCTTAAAACTGCTTTCCACATCCCTCAAGGACTAGATGCAAAGGCAGACAAGTAAATAGGTGAATTACAGTTGCTCCCCAGAGTAGGGACTGTGTCTTCATTGCTGGTTCAGCTGCATCTAGCAATGTCTGTCCCATAGCAAGCACTCAGTAGATACCTAGTGAATGAATAAATGAACAGATGGGTAAGATTTGCACAGTCTTCAAAAGGGACCCATCAGTGTTCTTTTCTTTTGTTTTCTTTTTTAGTGAAGGGAATAGATTTTATTTTAAAAAATATTTATTTATTTATTTTTAGAGAGAAGGGAGGGGAGGGAGAAAAAGGGGGAAGAGAAACATTGATTGGTTGCCTCTCTCACGTGTCCCAACAGGGGACAGAACCCACAACCCAGGCATGTGCCGTGACCAGGAATCCAACTGGTGACATTTCGCTATGCCAGATAATACCCAATCAACTGAGCCACATCCGCAAGGGCTCAGTGCTCTTTTCTTAATCAAAGAGAAAGCTTTCTTTGGGTAGATCTGTCACTTGCTAGGGACCTGAAGGAGTGAAGTAGCTTAGATTATGCATATTTTTAAAGAGTGAAATCAAATGAGGTATGCAATACATTGAGTCATGAAATGCAAATAGGATGTTTTTCTTCTGCTTTTTAATTAGGAGGCCTTGAAACTTATGAATGAAGTTCAAGAATACCTGGAAGAGGGAGAAAGGCTATGCCAGGAGTCTCTGGCAGATTCCTGGGACGAATGCAAGTCTTGCCTGGAAAGTGACTGCATGAGATTTCATGCAGCCTGCCGACCTCATTGGTCCTCTATGGAAAATATGGTAAGGGAATAAGAGAGCATAAGATTTCAAAGTTTTTAAGTACCTACTTCAGCTTACTTTTAAAACATTAATTTATATTAATATTTAGAATATAGATGCCTGGTCTGATACTGGCCTTTTGCAATCTAGACTCTAACATTCATGCTTATATATGATTCACCTGTGTATATACAATTTATAAGTTAAAACAACCATTCAGTATTTGCTCCACCATTTAATGACACTGTATGTATCTCTCTTAGAAACACCCTGACTCTTTCTGTCTTGTATTTATTATTTGTGAACACATTTCCACTAGATTGTAAGCTCTTTAAAGGCAGGGACCATATCCCATCTATGTTCATTAAAGCATTATAAATATCCAATAAATATTTTCTGGATTGTATTCTGAATGATAGTCTTATAGTCTCTGATTTCAAACTGCTTTAATATTTTCCCCTGGAGACCAAACATTTGAAGACATTCTTTGCCTCCTGAATCTGTTTCAATAGGCTTGCCCTCTATGACAGCATGCACACGAGTGTGCATACACAGAGATTCGTGGCCCCTTTAGGCCTATCCATGCATGTCTTATAGGACTGGCATGTTTTCTTTTTTGTCTCCTTTGGCTATCTTCTGGACAGAGGGAATCACAGAGGGGGGTGACCTGAATAGGATGAGCTCTGCCCTATAAAGTCTCCTACTCTATTGGCCTGAATTTCCCTTCCCCTTCAAGAAGTGAGCTGAATATGAAATGGAGTGAAATTTCCCTCTCCATATTAGAGCATGCACTAATTAGAGTATGCTTCTGGCTTGGCAGTGCCATACCCAATTATAGAGTGAGCAACCCTTAGGATGATTTATATGCCAAGTTAATTTGCCTCCCCTGTTAATTGCATCTGCTCTATTTTTATTGCCACTCTCTAATACACCAGAATGTGGTTGAATAAGCACTGGCTGGAAGTCAGGAGGTTTGGGGACCATTCCTATCTGTGTCAGTTGTGTGGCCTTATGAAAATTTCTTGGGGCTTTAAGGTTTTGTTTTTGTAAATGGATTCAGGTAAACAGAAGCTGTCAGAGGGAGAGGCAGATGATCCACCCAGATTACTTTTTTAGAAAGGCATGAGTACTCTAAGAATTTCTGGAGAACTCTTTGAACAGCACTGGGAGTTAGTAGCAGTGAGGTGTATGTTCCATAACACACAGTAGTAACCATACTACTATCATATAAGGGCAACTATGTTCTGGCACAAACTTAGGTGTCACAAAGATGAAGTAGAACATTGTGTTACTGATGGAAAATCTGTTCCCAATGAGTAGAGAATTCCATAATCAGAGCGTCATTCCTTTCACTACAGCCAAGAAGGGCTTTGATGACTGCAAATGAGTAACATCCTAAGTAACCTATTTAGCTGTATTAGGCATCTACAGTTTAGTGTAAATGTTTTGATGAAATGAGAAAGAGCAGAGCATAGACACTAATGTAGTCTGCTAAAGGGAAAAAAAGAGAAGAACTAAGACACTAAGACAGAGGTGAAAGACAAGAGCCTTATTCATAGTTTTAAGGCAATTTACACAGTACCCGTTGGACCAGGTTATGGCAGCCACCACTAGGTACATTAGCCTGTGGCTTGTCAAAAATATTGAAAACTTGGCCTTTTTAGGCCTTTTATAGGCTAACATAAACCAAAAGGAATTTCAGATCCTATTTCTATAGTCAAAGTCAAAGTCACTACGAGAGTGTTAATAAATTATCTTATATTGAATTACCTTTTCCTAGTTTGCCCAGAATTGTTCTTGATTTAGAATGACTACTATAAGATGACTTTAAAATTTACAATAAAAAATAGTCCAGAAAGATAATAAATTTCTTATTCTATTCTGTCCCTGACCCCGCAGATTGAACAGTTTTTCAGGAAGATATATCAATTTCTGTTTTCTTTCCATGAAGATACTGAAAAAGATCTCCCTTTTGGTGGAAAGGTCATGGAGGAAGATGCACAAGTGACCCAGATAGAGCATGTATTCAGCCAGCTGATGGTGGACGTGAGATTTCTCTTTAACAAGAGTTTTAACGTCTTCAAACAGATGCAGCAAGAATTTGACCAGGCTTTTCAGTCATATTTCATGTCAGATACAGACTTACTTGAGCCTTACTTTTTTCCAGCTTTATTCAAAGAGCCAATGAGAAAAGCAAGTCCTGTGCAAAGCTGGGACATTCCCAGCTTCTTCCAGCTATTCAGTGATTTCAGTCTCTCCTTTTATCAAAGTGTCAGCACAGCGGTTACTGAGACGCTGAATGCCACAGACGATTCACCCAAACAACACAAAGGCAAGTATTAAAAGATTATTTTTACTTAGATGTTCATACTAACATCAAGTTTTATTTAGCTTGTGAATGGTAGACATTTCTAAGTCATTGTGCAATGTTTCTGAGAGTGACAATTTATGGATAATCAAAGTTTCAGAGGCTCTTAGAAGCTCTGAAGTCTGCCAAGCACTGTCCCTCTTCCATTCTTGTTGAGAGTTCGGTGGGCATGTTCTGTAATTAAAGCAAATTATCAAAGCTGAAGAGGAAAATGAGAATAGGGTGAGAACTTTTGGAGAAGAAAAAAGTTGCCTCCTTCACTAAAATTCCTGTAGATGCTCAGCTCCATTCTGGTGGAACATCATGGAATTTCTTTAAAATAATAGGATCCTCAACTCCCAGTAGGGAAGAGGCCTAGTGTTGCATAAGAACAGGCCACATTTAGTACCCCCATGGCCTCCTCGGTGTCACTACTGTAATTCCTTAAATCGTAACGTTTATGCACAGAACCACAGAAACTTCTCATAGACAAACCCAAAACATCAGAAATAAGAATTTCTGTAAAACATATGCATTGCCTTCTATCAATGCCACTTATGCCCATGTTTCAATATTTCATGTCGAAAAAACAATTCTGCTTCATTTTTCAAGGCAGAAGGAGAAAACGTCTTCAGGCTTCTGTAGAGTGGCCAGGACGCAGCATCTCAGAAATGAAAGTTGCTGTGTGAGCCAACTGTAGGATCTGCACTTCCTGGGACTTCTTTCCTACTGACCACAGAGGCTGCTCCCCTGACACCGAAAATAAAATGGGCTCCTTCCAAAATCCTGTCATGTGTGACAACATGGATGACCCTGGGGGATATGATGCTAAGTGAAATGAGCCAAACACAGAAGGACAAATAAATTAGCTCTCACTTGTATGACGAATCTAAAATAGTCAAACTCATAGAAGCAGAGAGTGGAATGGTGGTTGCCAAGTGCTGAAGGGAAGAGGAAATGGGAAGGTGGTGGTCAGGGTACAAAGTTTCAGTTCTGTAAAATAAATAAGTAAGTGCTACAGATCTATTGCATAGCATAGTGCCCATAGTTAACAATACTCTATGTCTCAGGTGGCAAACACAAGGCTTGTGGGCCAAATCCGGCCCTCCACCTTGTTTTATCTGGCCTGGCACCTTGTTTCTACCCCGCGGCAGTGCTGAGCTCCTTGCCCCTATAGTTAGGGAGTAGTTACATTATACAGTCCTAAAATTAAATTTGGCCCTTTGAAGGTAACCGCGAGGCTGATGTGGCCCCTGGTGAAAATGAGTTTGACACCCTTGCTCTATTGGATACTTAAAAAAATTGCTAAGAGTGTAGAGCTTATGTTAAGAGTTCTTGGCAATAATAATAATAATAATAATTAATAATAACAGGACAGGCAGACATTTTTGGAGGTGATAGATAGCTTTATGGTATAAATTGTGAGAATGATTTCATGGGTATATACTTATTTCCAAACTCATCAAGTTGTATATACTAATTGTATATAGATATTTTTGTATGCAGGGGGGAAAGGGCTCTTTCAAAATATTTCCCAATTATATCAGCTGTAGTTGGCAACATTTGAATCAAATTCTTAAAATTGCCATGACATTGCATAACAGGCCTCTGTGTGGGCGGGGCTTACCTCACACTGTCAGAAACTGAAGCCAGGAAAAAAATGCATTACACCCTTCCCGTCCTATTGTTCTATGAGTGGAACAGCCATCATTCCTGGAATTGTTGTTAGGTTCTATTTCAGGGTCTGGTGGACTTTTCTGGTAAGTCAGGTGTTTTGTCTGGTATTCCATTCTGAGATTCCAAGCTCACCAAATATTCAAGAAAAGCACAAGGGCAATAGATCAAATATTAGGTCCGGCACAAATAACACCCTTTTTAATGACAAAATCTTTTATTGCAAAATCATAAGTATGTAAATCTGTAACATAACAATATCACATTCAAGCACACCTTATGACATTTTAGGTGAAATGTTCAAATTAAAACTATAAGTTATTATACCGATATTATTACCCTACCAACCATACTCAAGCAGTCCTTACTTCTGCCAGATCCTGTATATCAATGTGGGGATGATATTGGATAATTTTTGCCTGAAATTTTAAATAGATATCAATTGCCTTGGAGTAATATTCCAATAATAAAGAACATGTTCATTAAAACAAAATTATGCCCCCTTTCTACACCATATTTCACATTGTATAGCAATCTTACATGTGATTTGCTACATTCAGATGTGCACAGGAGTACTAGTAATTCACGAAGTTGAAATGGAAACAATTTCCCAACCACTGCAACTCCCTTCTCCCGCCAACTCAGAATGTGGTTTTCACCAGCCTGCCAGGGCTCAGTCCCCATTCACACACTCTTGGACCAGACCCTACTTTCAGCTGGTTCGTGGACCCCCACTCCCTGTCTCTTGTACCACCTTCACCTCAGTGATAACTTGGAGATCCACGGTCCCCTATAAATGCAAAAATTAAAGACAAAAATCAAAATAGCAAACAAAAAGAGCCTGTGTTACACCTTTATATTCTTCTTTATCCAGTACGTCTACCCTAACCAGATGGTGCACAGCAAACTCAACAGAGGAAACATTCTCTTCGCAGATAAACACATGAGGATAATTTATCAAGAATAGGCAGGTAGCCTTGGCTGGTGTGGCTCGAAAGGTTGTGGGTTCGATCCCAGGTCCAGGCATGTACAAGACACAACCAACTGATGCTTCACTCACATCAATGTTTCTCTCTCTCCTTTCCTCTTTCTAAAAGCAGTGAAAAAGGTCCCAGATGAGGATAAAAGAAAAAAAATAGGCAGGCAGGGGTTAGAAGGTATTTACATGCGGTTTCCATCACTTTTCTGGACAGGTGGCAGGTGAAAAACAAGTCTGTTGCCCTAGAAAATCCATCCAATGAGAAGATATTTTGAACTTTACTCTTTGTGGTCAGCAGAATAGCAGCTCCCCAAGATGTCAGTGCCTTAATCCCTACAACCTGTGATTATGTTAGGTCACATGGCAAGGGGAAAGTAACGTTGCAGATGAAATTGAGTTGCTAATCAATTGACCTTAAAATAGGGAGATTATTCTGGATTATCCGAGGGCCTCCAAGGATCCTTCTAAGTGGGGACAGGAGACAGAAAAGAATCAATAGAGATGGCAGCCTGAGAAGGACTCAACTGCACTTGGCTGGCCGTGAAGATGGAAAACGGGACCATGTATAGGTGGCCTCCAAAAGCTGGAAAGGTGTGGAAATGGATTCTCTCCTGGGGTCTCTAGGGAAACCAGCCCTGCCAACACCTTGATTTTAGCCAGATGAGACCCATTTCAAATTTCTGACCTACAGAACTGTAAGATCACATGCTGATTTAAGTCACTAAATTGTGGCAATTTGTTACAATAGTAATAGGAAACTATCACACATGTCTGGTTCAGCATAGTGGCCAACATTCACTGAGTGATCACTGAGCACAGGTGGCCTCATGAATGGGCTGTTTTTGTCATGATTGTCCAAAAAGCAAAATTCGAAAAACAGCTAAAATTGGATAATGGATACTATTAAAAGAGAAGAGGCAATACCAAATGCAAGAATAGTTTGTTTCATACTATTTTTAGTTTCGTGAGTGTTGTTTCATTTTAATCTCCATGTGGAAGAATTTCTTTTCTACTTTGGTCTTTCAAGACCTCAATTCCTGAACATGTTGTAAGATAATAATATAGCTTTTTCTTTTTCTTTTTTTATTTATTTTAATCATTGTTCAAGTACAGTTTTCTGCTTTTTACTCCCATTCCAGCCCACCCACCCATCCCTCCCTACCTCCCCCCATTACCCACTCCCTAGTTTTTGTCCATGTGTCCTTTATACTTGTTCCTGTAAACCCTTCCCCTTTTCCCCTGAAATTCCCTCCCCTCTCCCCTCTGGTCACCGTCAGCCTGTTCTCTATTTCAGTGTCTTTGGTTATATTTTGCTTGTTTCTTTGTTTTGTTGTTTAGGTCCCTGTTAAAGGTGAGATCATATGGTATTTGTCTTTCACCGCCTGGCTTATTTCACTTAGCATAATGCTTTCTAGCTCCATCCATGCTGTTGCAAAGGGTAGGAGCTCCTTCTTTCCTTCTGCTGCATAGAATTCCGTTGTGCAAATGTACCATAGTTTTTTGATCCATTCATTTACTGATGGGCATCTAGGTTGCTTCTAGCACTTGGCTATTGTAAATTGTGCTGCTATGAACATTGGGATGCAAAGGTTCTTTTGGATTGGTGTTTCAGGGTTCTTAGGATATACCCCCAGCAGTGAAATTGCTGGGTCAAAAGGCAGATCCATTTTTAGTTTTCTGAGGAAGTTCCATACTGTTTTCCATAGTGGTTGTACCAGTCTGCAGTCCCACCAACAGTGCACTAGGGTCTCCTTTTCTCCAAAACCTCTCCAACACTTGTTGTTTGTTGCTTTGTTTATGATGGCCATTCTGACTGTTGTGCAGTGGTATCTCATTGTGGTTTTAATTTGCATCTCTCTGATAGCTAGCGATATTGAACATCATTTCATGTCTTTGGATCCTCTGTATGTCCTCCTTGGAGAAGTGTCTGTTCAAGTCCTTTGCCCATTTCTTCATTGGGTTGCTTGTCTTCTTAGAGTGTAGTCGTGTAAGTTCTTTATATATTTTGGAGATCAAACCCTTGTCTGAGGTATCATTGGCAAATATGTTTTCCCATACAGTTGGTTCTCTTTATTTTAATACTGTTTTCTTTAGCTGTGCAGAATTTTTTTTATTTTGATGAGGTCCCATTTGTTTATTCTTTCCTTTATGTCCCTTGCTCTAGGGGACATGTCAGTAAAAATGTTTCTGCGTGAAATATCTGAGATTTCCCTGCCTACATTTTCCTCTAGGACTTTAATGGTGTCACGATTTATACTTAAGTCTTTTATCCATTTTGAATTTATTTTTCTGTAAGGTGTAAGTTGGTGCTCGAGTTTCATTTTTTTTGCACATAGCTATCCAGTTCTCCCAACACCATTTGTTGAAGAGGCTATTTTTACTACATTTTATGTTGCTGCCCCCTTTGTCAAATATTAATTGACCATAGAGACTTGGGTTTATTTCTGATAAAACAGCTTTTTCAATTGTCCTCACTGGACTTATAAATCCCTGTGAAACCAGAAAAGACACTGGAGTTCGGGGTGCCTGTCACTACCAAACCCAATAAGTAGAGACAGGGAGTGAATCTTTATGGGTGCTTTATTCAGATGGCCAGTGATCTGAGAAGATGGTAGGTTCATACCCTAACAGACCATCTTGTCTTTTCTGGAATTTCAGGCCAAGGTTTTTATAGCAGAGAATAAACAAGGTGTGGTGAGGGGTTTTGAAAGTCAGGGAGGAGTTAATTGGATTAAAAAAAACCCAACTCCAGCATTCTCACCTTGGGCAGTGGTCTTAAGCTGTGCCCCAGATGGTGGGTGGTCTTTAGCTGTGTCCTGGGTGGTGGTCATCTCACCCTGGAGTACAATGGCTCAGATATCACCTTGAGTTGCTTGCAGCTTTCTCAGGAACAAAGGTGGGACTGCTGATGGTCTACTGGATTCAGGGTGGGTCACACTTTCAGTTCCAAAAGCTTTTTGTTTCAGAACAAAAGCTTTTACATGCATTGATTACTAAGCTTATTAGCTATTACTTAAACTAAAATTTTCCAACTCTTAAGTCCCCTATCACCTGGAAAGAAGAGATGAGATCCTGTTGAATAAGATTGTTCAGTGTAGTAGCTTGGCATAGTGCTTGGTGCTGGGAGATCTGGGTTCCAATCCTACTTCAGAAAGTGTTTGCTGACCTTAATTTTCCTTTGTGGGAGGAAACAGGTGCAGGTGCATAGTAGCTGATGTGTATCAGAGACAGCTGCCTAGAATGGTCCCGGGGTCCCGAGGCTCTGTCATGGGGAGACTGAAGTGAGGTGAGTTACTGCTGTGGTGTAGAATGAGGAATCGGTGTCATAGGGACCCGAGGTTTGCCATCCCTGGTATGTAAACCAAGTATTAATCCAGATGCTGGAAATATGACAATATTATTACATAGCCCCCGACTTTTAGGAGCTCAGTCCAGAGAAAGGAAAACAGACAGATCAGTGCGCAATTACATTACTATATCACAAGTGAAATGATAGAAGAAGGATAGGTGGAAGACTAAAAAGATTAAAAGGATAAGACCAAATCCCATCCCTCAAGGGGGTGGGAGTCTACTAGAAAAGATAAGCAAGTGAATAGTACATAAAGCAGAAACTTGTTTCACAGTAGAACTGCCCATGGAGGTCCTGGGGGACAAGAGGAGATGCCACTAAGAGGAGATGCCTCTGAGCTGGGAGCTTGGAGAAAATGACTTCCTGTCCAGCAAAGGAGATGGTTGCCTCACACGCCATATGTCCTAACAAATGCCTCACGGGGTTTTAAGCAGTGGATTGCACACTTCATCTCCAGATGAAATGTTTCATCTTTAAATGTTGAGGATTAAATATAACAGAAAATCAACAGGTTATAAATTAATGATTTTTTTCCTAACATAAAACACTCAATTGGGAATGTCAGTGTGCTGTTGGATTGGCTTCTTTTTACATCATCATTTTAAAAAAATATTTTATTTATTTATTTTCAGAGACTGGAAGGGAGGGAGAGAGACAGAGAAACATCAATGTGTGGTTGCCTCTCATGTGGCCCCCACTGAGGACCTGGCCCACAACCCAGGCATGTGACCTGACTGGGAATTGAACCTGCGATGCTTTGGTTCGCAGCCCATGCTCAATCCACTGAGCTACACCAGCCAGGGCACATCATCATTTTTATATAATTAATTCTTCCAGAAAAAAGTTGATCTGCTTTAGATGCTTTCTCCTAAACAACCCAGTTTATAACTATATATATGAAATGCAAAAAAAAAGGTATTAAAATAAATCCCTACTACTTAGTTTAAGAAACAGACATGTTCAATATCTTTGAAACTCCAATGTACTTCTCAATTGTAGCTTTAAAAATTACAATAATTATTAGACTTTTTAAATACAAGTCTAAAGAGAAAAGTATCTTACAATCTCCTGTTTAGTTAACCCTATTGACATCAGAAATAATGAGGATAAAAATGCGACATACTAAATTTAAAATAATTCATATATACAAAGAATAAAACTAATGAAAGCTACCCTGTCCTACCCCATCAGATCTCTCTCTGAAAGACAGTTAGCATTAATAATTCCTCATGATCCCTTCCAGAAACTAAAAGTCTTTCTGGAGGTGGGGCAAAGGGAACGTACTAATAATGATGAGTAATAAGAGTAGCAATGAAATTGCTGAATTAAGGGATATATGCAATTTTTAACAGATGTCAAATTGTCTTAGCAAATGGTTGCACCAACATGCACTCCTGTGATTGAATTCAGGAAGAAGATTTTGAAAGCACCAGTAAGAAAAAGAAAAGCACTGTATCCACTCCCTTAAAGCACAGACTCTAATGACGCTGATGTGTAAATGCTGTGTTACCTGCAGACGCTGACCCTGCAAACCAGAGTTCAAAGACAGTACCTGTGCAGGACAGAGGGCTGTGTGGAGAACGTGGCCAGAATTTGTCAGAATGTGTCCAAGTTCATGCAAGATGCCAAAAATGTCAGGATTACCTATGGAAAGGTAAATAATGAAATTTATTTTCTCAGGGTTCTAATAGTATTCTGGTCAGAAGTCAAAACTGTCACTTTTACATGCATTGTGGATTCATTTGCTTTCCTGCAAGTACTTTTTTTGCAAGCTCATTTCCAGTTGGATGTGCTCAGTGTAGGTTTATAAACTTTTATTATTCAAAAGTAGGTGACATCACGTTTTCCCTTTTTAAAATTCCCTACCTGTTCCTGTAAAAGTTTTTATGTTTGGAGACCAAACAAATACAAATGTGTACAAAAGAGAACTATGAACAAATTAGGACACCTCCTTCCTTCTTGCTGCAAAAGAAAAGGCAACCCACCAAAGCAATCTGCCTATTAGGTAAGCAAATTTGTAGCCAAGTGAATTTCTTTTTTCTTTTTGAAAGTGGCATTAGACTTCTTCCAGTTGGTGGGTTAAGTACTAATTGGTATTTAAAAATGGAAGTGCCTTCTCCTCACAAGCTCCAAGCAGACTTTTTCCTCTGAGCTCTGACTACTGCCTTTGTCCCACCCCCAGGAGAGAAATCCTCTCCACCAGGCTCTTCCTGCATTTCTTCCTCCCCTCCCTCATCCCCTTTACTTCTGGTAACTAGAGTTGCTTTTCCCGCCCACTAATGCCTGAACACAAAATTCCCTGCAAACACCAAGAAGAATTTATGATTTTGGTGCTTCTGTTTTTGTTTGTTTTTGTTTGTTTGTTTTTTTACCTTGCTAAAGCTCTAAAGAAAAAAAATTCTAAAAAATGTGCCTAAGGACTTGGAGTAGGAGGTTGAATATATGAGCCGTAAACTGGACCTTTTTGTTAGAGCGAGAAAGATCTTGTTTCTCCCGCATTGCTAACTGGGTTACTCTCTGCCCCTGTGCTTCATCATTTGGAAAATGGGATTAATATAGCTACTTTATACTGGTGTTTTGTGGATTAAATAAAGTGTCTGAAGTATTAATGATGCTCATTATACAAGTGCTTGTACTTTAAGTCACAGTTGTAAGGTTGCATACAGAAACAGATGTTTTTATAAGAGAAAAATATACACTGCTATAATAACCATTTAGAAAAATAGTCCCACTCAAATATTTCATCATTAACTTCCTTTCATCCAGTTAGAAGCTTTAATGAATAATCTCTCACTGGTTATCATAAAACAACACAGAAGATGGGGGAGGGGATTGGACAAAGGTGGTCAAAAGACACAAACTTCCAGGTATACCATGAATAGGTACTGGAGATGTAATGTGCAATGTAATGACTGGCTGACGCTGCTATGTGGCATATATGAAAGATGTTAAGAGAGTTAATCCTAAGAAGTCTCACCACAAGAAAAATTTTCTTCTCTCTTCTTTTTATTGTGTCTATAAGAGAAATGGATAGTAACTAATCCTAACACAGGAATCATTTTACAATATATATACATAAACCAATCCATCATGCATTACATTGCATGCTGTATACATGGCAATGATGTGCTGACTTATACATTGACATATGTCAGTTACTTCTTAATAAAACTGGAAAAAAGATAATTCAGAAGAAATTAGATAATACAGTATAAACACAATCAGAGTACAGCACCAGATACTGAGAATACATTGGCTAATGCCTCAGAGACAGCACACAGCACATAACTCAGGATACATGAAACCCAAACTGATCACTGCAAAGGCGATGCATAAAGAAAAGGACGTCCTAATGTGTTCCCATGCCATTTAAAATTTTTATTATAAAGTGCATGTTATTTTGAACATATAAAGAATAAAATAATAGAACTTCATGTGTCTACCACCCAGATTAAGAAATAAAACATTACCAGAACTGACGAAGTCCCCGCTCTGCCTCTTCTACCTCACGTCCTCTTCATGCAGCAAAAGCTAATGCGTACATATTGTCACATTTCAAAAGAGACACCTGCTAAATATGGGTTTTCTTTCTTCCCATATGGGCTTCTCTCAAAACATTTACTTTTATGTCTATGTGGTGACTAAAAATGCCTTAAGGTTCTCTGGGTTCTACTGATCTTATCTTAAAAAATAAAAGCTTTATTGAAATATGGTTGACATACCATAAAGCTCAACCTTTTAAAGGATACAATTCAGTGTTTCTTAGTATATTAAAAAAGTTGTATTATCATCACCACTATCTAATTTTAGAATATATCTACCTGCACAGATACGCCATACTCATTAGCTACCACTTCCCCTTCCCCCTACACCTTCTCCTACTTAGCCCTGGTAACCACTAACCTGCTTTCTGTCTCTGTCAATTTGCTTATTTTGGGCATTTCAAATGAATGGAATTATACAATACACAATCTTTTGTGACTGACATCTTTAACTTAGTATAATGGTTTCAAGTTTCAACCACATCATAGCATATATCAGAACTTTATTCCTTTTTATGACTGCATAATATTCCATTGTGTGGATATATCATATTTATCTATTCATCAGTTGATGACACTCAATTTGTTTCAATTTTATGGCTATTATAATATTTCTATGAACATTTGTGTACAAATTGTTGTGTGGAAATGTTTTTTTATTGTATTTTATTGATTATGCTATGATAGTTGTCCTAGTTTTTCCCCCTTGTTCCCCCTCCACCCAGCACCCTCACTCCCTCAGGCAATCCCCACACCACTGTTCATGTCCATGAGTCATGCGTATAAATTCTTTGGCTACTCCATTTCCTATACTGTACTTTACTTGCCATGGCTATTCTATAACTACTTCTTTGTACTTCTTAATCCTCTCACCTCTTCACCCATTCCCCCACACTGCCTCTGATCTGGCCACCATCAAAATGCTCTCCATATCTATGATTCTGTTTCCATTCTTCTTGTTTGCTTAGTGTGTTTTTTAATTTAATAGTTGATAGAAATGTGTTCATTGTCATTTTATTATTCATAGTTTTGATCTTTTTATTAAATAAGTCCCTTTAATATTTCATATAATAATGGTTTGGTGATGATGAACCCCTTTAGTTTATTCTTGTTTGGGAAGCTCTTTTTATCTGCCCTTTGATTCTAAATGATAGCTTTACTGGGCAGAGCAACTGTGGCTATAAGCCCTTGCTTTTCATGACTTTGAATATTTCTTGCCAATCTCTTCTAGCTTCGAAGTTTCTTTTGAGAAATCAGCTGATAGCCTCATGGAAACTCCACTGTAGCTAACTCCTTTTCTTTTGCTGCTATTAAGATTCTCTCTTTATCTTTAATCTTTGGCATTTTAATGATGTGTCTTGGAGTGGGCCTCTTTGCATTCATCTTGTTTGGGACTCTTTGTGCTTCCTGGACTTGCATGTCTATTTCCTTCATCAAATTAGGGAAGTTTTCTTTCATTATTGTTTCAAATAGGTTTCCAATGTTTTGCTCTTTCTCTTCTCCTTCTGGAACTTCAAGAGGCCCTATGATGGGCCTCTTGAAGTTGCACAGAGGCTGCTCATACCATCCTCATTTCTTTGGGTTATTTTTTCTTCTTGTTCTGATTGGTTGTTGTTGGGGGTTTTTTGCTTCTTATATTCCAAATCACTGATTTGATTCTTGGCTTCATCTACTCTACTGTTGTTTCCCTGGAGATAGTTCTTTATTTCAATTAGTGTATCCTTCATTTCTGAGTGGATCTTTTTTATGCTGCTGAGGTCCACACAAAGTTCCCTGAGCATCCCTATAACCAGTTTTGAACTCTGCATCTGATAGGTTGCTTATCTCCATTTCATTTAGCTCTTTTTCTGGAGTTTTGATATGTCCCTTTAATAGAGACCATGTATCTTTGTCTCTTTACCTTGACAGCCTCCCTGTGTTTGTTTCTATGTATTAAGTAGAGCTGCTTTGACTCCATGTCTTGGTAGTGTGGCCTAATGTAGAAGGTATCCTGTAGGGTCTAGTGGCACAGCCTCCCCTATTACCCAGGCTGGAACTCCAGTGTGCCCTTCATGTGACCTGAGTATACCCTCCTCTTAGGAGCCTTGGATGTAGTTGAGCCTTGGTTGCTGTTGACAGGTCAATGGGAGGGATTTACCCAGGCCAGTCAGCTTCAAGGACTGGTTGTGATCACTGACCACCAACCTCTGCACTCAGAGGATCAGCTGTGCAGGAGCAGGGTGGTGGTACTTTGATATGGTCTGTAGCTGTCTACTGGGTCCACTGGCCCTGGGGTTTCGTTGGTGCTGCAGGCCAAGGTCATCCCCCACCTATGTTTTTCCTGGGGCCACCCTGCCTGAGCTATAAAGCAATCTGAGATGGCTGCTACTGGTGCTGGGTTTGGAGATTCCCAGGTGGAGCCAAGCTGTGAACATAGGCTGGCTATTGCCAGTGCTGGGCCTGGGGCTCCCTGAGGCCAGCCTTGCTTGTTTGAGAGGATTTAGGAAGTTATGAAACATGAGCCAAGAGCAGCCATTCATATGGAAAAGCAACTTGGGTGGGCCGGTAAGTTGGGTGGGGCAGAGTCTCTGGGGATCTCTTACACTGGTCAAACAGTGTTAGCCAGGTTGATGAGTCTCAAATATGGCACCAGCTTGCCAGCTCTGGCTCTGTGGGGGAAGGTTTACAAAAGGGACTATGACCTCTGTCCTTCTTGATGCCAGACACTTCAGTCTCTCCCTACATGCCACATGTACCTTTCAAGCTGCCATCTTGGTGCTGGAACTCAGAGTGAGTCTGAGTAGGTGAGTCCATGTGTGGGTTCTTGAAGTGGAATTGCTTGAGGAATCAGAACTTTCTTCCACTGACTCAAACCCTACTGGTTTTTGCAGCCAGAAATTGTGGGCACTTACCCTCCTGGCACTGGAACACTGAGCAGAGGAACCTGGTGTGAGCCAGGACTCCTCTCTCTTGAAATTTCACTCCTGAATTTTTATCACCTGCATAACGATGTGGAACCAGCCCGTTCTGCATCTGGGCCCTCCTACCAGTCCGAAAGGACGTGGTTTCTTTAATTCTGTAGTTTTCAGACTTCCATTCAACTCTATTTCTGATGGTTCTGAGTGACAGTTGTTCTATATTTTAGTTGTAATTCTGATGTGGTTCTGCAAAGAGGTGAGCTATGTCTACTTATGCTGTCATCTTGACCATAAGTGGACATATGTTTTCAATACTCTTGAGTGTATACCTAGGAGTAAAATTGCCACACATCACATGGTTACTCTATATTTAACATTTTCAGGAACTTCCAAACTCTCTTCCAACCTAGGGGCACCATTCATATTCCTACAGAAATGCATGAGGGTTCTAATTCCTCCACATCCTTGCCAACACTTGTTACAGCTTAACCATTTATTTTAGCCAATCTAGTGGTTGTCAAGTGGTATCTCATTGTGTTGTTGTTTTTTTAAATTTCCCTAATCACTATAATGTCAAGCATCTTTTTATGTGTTTATTGGCCACTTGTATATCTTCTTTGGAGAAATGTCTATTCAAATCCTTTGCCCATACTTTAATTTTATCGTCTTTTTTTTTATTGTTGAGTTGTAAGAGTTCTTTATATATTCTGGATACTAGACCCTTAGCAGATATATTATTTGCAAATATTTTCTCCTGTGTTCTGTCCTTTCACTTTCTTAATGGTACCTTTGAAGCATAAAAGTTTTTATTTGAAGTCCTGTTTACCTACTTCTTTTCTTTTTTTTGTATTTTGGTGTCTTATCTAAGAGAACATCATAATCCAAGATCACAAAGATTTATACCTATGTTTCTTCTAAGAGTTTTATAGATTTAATTCTTGAATTTAAGTCTCTGATACATTTTGAGTTAGTTTTTATATATAGTGTTAAGCAGGAGTCCCAACTTCTTTCTTCTGTACTTATATATCCAGTTGTCTTTGTTCCACTTACTGAAAAGACTATTCATTCTTCCACAGAATTGTCTTGGCATTCTTGTTGAAAATCCATTGACAGAAAATGTAAGGGCTCTTTTCTGGACCCTCAGGTCTGTTCCATTGTGCCATAGGCCTATTGTATGCCAATACTGCACTATCTTGATTGTTGTACTTTGCAGTAAGTCTTGAAATTCAAAGTGTTTGTGTGTGTGTGTGTGCGTGAGTGTGTGTGTGTGCTCCATATTTATTCTTTGTTTTCAAGATTGTTTTGGCTATTCTGTGCCTTTTGCTTTTCCATGAATGTTGGGATCAGCTTGTTGCTTTCTGCATAGAGCCACTGGAATTTTGATAGGGATTGCATTAAATCTATGGATCAATTTCTGGAGTATTGCTCTCTTAACAATATTAATTCTCTCAATCCATGAACAGAGATAGTTTTCCATTTATTTAAGTCATCTTGATTTCTTTCAAAGTTTTTTTATTCATTTATTTTTTACTTATTTGTTTGAGAGAGCAAGGAGAGAGAGTGAGACATTGATTTGTTGTTTCCCTTATCTATGTATTCATTGGTTGGCTCTTGTGTGTGCCCTGATCAGGGATTGAACCTGCAATTTTGGCACACAGGACAATGCTCTAACCAACTGAGCTACCCAGTCGGGGCCAAAGATATTTTTTAGTTTTCAGTGTACAAATCTTGCACTTCTTTTTAAAAATTTGTTCGTAAGCATTTTTTTTCCTCTGATACTATTGTAATTGGAACTGTTTTCTTAATTTTATTTTTCATTTGTTTACTTTTAGTGTATAAAATGCAACTGATTTTTATGTTAGTCATGTGTTCTACAACTTTGAAGAATTGTTTATTAGTTTTAACAGCATTTTTGTCTGCATGTATAACAGTATTTTCTACATACAATATCACGAAATGTGTGAATGAAGTTTTACTTTTTCCTTTCCAATATGATTGTGTTTTGCATGAAGTTCTACTTTTGTTCTAGGGAAATCTTTTTACTGGGTAGCACTCTTAAAAAGAGTAAATGAGTATCCCTTATAAAATTCTGCTTGATTAGAATCATGTAGGATCATGAGGAAAATCACCACCTTTCCCCTCATGATTTTAAAAAAATATATTTAAATTCTATTCTAAAATTAAACAACTGTGAAGTTGCAAATAAAGATATTTTAAAAGACTATCTGTATCTCCTTTCAAATGTATACTGTACCATGTTAACTATGACTACCTTTGTTTACTTTCTCTTTTTAAAAAATTTTGTTTATTTATTTTTAGAGAGGGGGTTAGTGAGGGAGAGAGTGAGGGAGAGAAACATCAATGTGTGAGAGAAACATTGATCAGTTGCCTCCTGAATGCAGTCTGACAGGGGACCAAACCCACAACCCAGGCATGTGCCTTGACCAGAATCAAAATAGTGACCTTTCCGTTTGCAGGACGATGCCCAGCCCAAGAGCCACACCAGTCAGGACAACTTCACAATGTTTTCTTGAGTTATTTTTCAAACATACACTATTGCAAATGTGTTCACTTGCAAATACAAAGGTCTCCCTCTCCTGAAGATCCCAAAACAATCTCCACAAAAGTTGAGGCCCCAAAGAACCTTGGGTTATATCTATGTATCAAAAAGAACCATTAAGTGATATTTAAGATCCGAGATGAGGTAGTCACCTGGCTTCTGGTTGGTGTATTTTTTCCCACTCCTATCTTGCTAAAGGCATGGTTTTTTAGTAAGCAGCAAAAGACATGGTTTATAGAGGCTGTGGTCTTTCTCTACAACAATGATTTCTTATGATTTCAGATGCTCTAACTCATGAGCACTTCCATAGTCTACCAATAATCTTTACATACTATCCAGCAGTTCATCAGCATACCTATATAAGTTCCTATTACCGTGATACCATTTGGATGGGCTGCTGGGCAAAAATAACAAAGAACTGGAGGATCTTAGTGGCTTGTAAATACGAAGCTTTAGTTCTTACTCTGCAGCGTGTCAGAGTTTGAACGAGGGCTCTGCCGCATAGCATATCTCCTCATCTGGGATGACAGAGCCTGCACCACATGGAGCAAAACCAGTTCCACTGTCAGAGGGAAGGGGACATGATAAATCCCAAACTGTTCTCAAAGGCTTCCTCCAGAAGTGAGATACATTTCTTTGAAGAAGTTTATGCTCAACTTCAAGGGGGCAGGGAAGCATATTTCCTGATGTGTCCTGATCAGATTATCAGTGAGTAGCTCTAATGGCCTTCAGAGACGGCACAGAAATAAGGAAGAGGAAGAGTCACATTTGCTAAATCTATATAATGTGTGCTGTATGATCAGGCACTTTACATTATTTCATTCCTGCTCATTTTTTCTTGTTGAAAACTCACTCAAAGTCAAAAGGCTGGAAATAATGTAGAAAGATGAAAAGCTGGGATTTAAACCCACATCACCCAGTTCCAAATTTCATGGACCATTTCCTTTACCAAATAACTTTCTTCTTTGCTAGATTGTCCTGATGTTCCTGAATTACATACAAAAGTGGATGAGGCCCTTAAACTGGTCAACATATCCAATCAGCAGTATATCCAGATTCTGCAGGTGACTCAGCATCATTTGGGGGATACTACATATCTGATGGAGAAGATGAGAAAGGAATTTGGCTGGGTGACTGAACTGGCAAACCAGACTCCAGAAACTGAGAACATCTTCAACTCCATAAAGGTAGTGGAGGATCCAAGAACAGATAGGGAGATTACATATGCATACATTGATTTTTCTGTTAATTTATGTATTTGAAGAAAGCTATAGGAGAATATTCATATTTCCATTGTGACTGTATAGAAGCTGACTTGATATGATGTACTGAATGGTCTTTAGAAAACAAAAATTTCTATAAACAAAACCTGTTTAAAACACAATAGTTTCTAATCCAGAGATGGCTCATTCTGCTTAGAGCTAAAGTGTTCTACTGATACAGGCAACCCTGAAGAAACTTTGCCAATATAGACTTTAAGAGAGAAGAATTTCAGGTTAAACAACTTGAGTTCAAAAGCTAATTCTGAAACTTGCCAGCTGAGTAAGTTTGGGAAAGTTCCTCAATCTTTCTAGGCCTCAATTTTTCCACCTGGAAAATGGAACTAATAATACCACTTTAAAATGTGTATCTGTAAAGTGATTAGTATAGGTTTCTTATACAAAGGAACCTTATACAAGGACTCTAAATTATAGCTCTTACTAGTTTTAACAGTGACTGAATTTCTTTCCTGACCATCCCTTCCCCACCACACACATTACATTAATCAGCAAGTAAGCCAGGTGAGCAAATCCTGCAAGTAGCGAATCCTGATGAGGTCAGTATTGACAAGTTTCTTTAAAAACCAGGTACAAAAATCATTGGAGAGAGCAATTGAAGATACAGTATTTTGGGCAGCATGTAATGCTGGTGGCCTATCCTGATCCCTGAGGATCCAACTGCCATCTCCAGCTGGTGTTGCTACTAACTGTTCAGCCCTGCAACCTTCTCCAAAGCTTTGTCCTTGAGGCTACCTATGCTCCAGAGCTCCCAGAAGGATCAGACTGAAGCTGGAAGTCACTGGAGTCCACATCCACGACTAGCTTCTGCTTCTTTTCAATCTTGCTTGCCTCATCCCCTTAAAAGTTTTACCTGAAGGCACCCTTAACACTATCACTTGTGTTAAAGTCTCAGACTCTGCTTCTAGGGAATCTGACCTATTGAATTTCTGTAAAATAATGTTTCACTCTCTTTGAAACTGCAAGGCTGTGGCTCACCTGTGGTTTAGTAAATAAGTCTAGAGAGACACAATCAGCAAACTAAAACAACAAACAGAATAGTACAGACTATAAGAGAAGGTATTATAGTTAATTACATTTAATGTCATATGCATATAATGGAATTTTCATTTCCATTATGTTTGTGTTTATGTGTGTGTACACATATGTGTGTATACATATATGTAGATATATGTGTGCTTTGAGTTATGATGTAAAATGTATTTGCTACTGCAGACCGCAGTCAAAAGGTTTTGAAAGCCATTGTTCCAGTCCCTACTTACTCTCCGATTCTATTACTCACTAGATTACACCCTAGGAAAACAAAATAATTTAAAATATTTGATCATCCTCACAAATATAGCCTTTTAGTTTAATGAGAAAAAAGTTTTGTGTTGAAGAATAAAAATGTAAGGAAACATTTAGCAATACTTTCAATCTTGACAAAGGTACAGCCAATATTTAACTGTTTTTATCATAGTATTTTCCATTTTATGCTACACTTTAATTCCATTCTACTGTTTTTGAGTAACACTAATATATTTGTCTAAAATTCTTTATGTTGATAACAAGGTACTTCAGTATAAAAACCTCCATATAAAATAAATTATGATTTTAATGATACATTTTTATAATAATCATCACCAACGAGCACCTACTATGTGTCAGGCAATGTTCTAAGAACTTCTCCATATATCAAATCATTTAATATCCTCAATGGTCCTGTAAGATAGGAAATACTCTTTTCCAAATTTTTAGAATGAGGCACAGAGAAGTTGAACAACTTGTCTGAGATCACAGCTAGTAAATGGAAGATGGGGATTCAAACCCAAGCAACATTTCTCCAGAATCAGTGGCTTACCCCCTTTGCTGATCTGCCTATAAAAGTTACTTTTCTCAAAACAGTTCTTAATTCATCATGTAAAATAAAAGTGCAAAGCCATGTAATAGCAACTACTGAAAATGAACTTTGTGTAAAAAATATACAAATTCTAGCAGGTGAAAAACGGTATGCCCCTTGGTTTGTAGTTAGATGGTGCTAGCTATATAATTATTTATTAAACTAGACATAAATGCTTTATGCAGTCTTTATATGTATTATATTTGCCAGAAAGGAAAAGCTGTGTTAGCTATTCTCTTATAAGCTAGAATTAAGAAATTAATAGTTTTTAATTTGTCTTCTTAACACTTTGCTTTAGTTTTCTTTATAAGGGAATTTATTCAAAAACATTTTCAAACTAGTTCTCTTTAGGTTACATCAAGTTGCATGTGAAAACAATTTCATTTATAGTATTAAGATCAAAGTACATCCACTTGAGAAGCCATTAAGAGGTAAGTGTCACACATTTCAGATGACTGGTTCTTACAAAAATCATATACACAACCATAAATTGTAAATTTTGTAGGAAAACTCAGTATTAAAACTTGGTGCATTATGTTAATATTTGCTCACTCAAATTTTCCAGCTCCTCTTACAGTTAGGTGGTACCGTGTGGCAAGTTCTGGTCAATGAACATGAACAAAAATGACAAGGGTTATTTCTGGACTGAGATAGTGAAGAGTTGTGTGCTTACCCATTCTTTTTCTCTACTGAGGCCACAAAGAGAGCCATGTGTCCCATACACTATAACCAAGAGGTGACATGACTTTGTCAATGAGAGTCTTGAATGTCTAGGTGGTACAGAGCCCTTAATGGACGTATTACATGAGTGAGAAATAAATTTTTGTTGTATGAAACCACATGGTGGGGTGTGTTACCTCAGCACAACCTAGCCTATCCTGACTAATGTGGTATTAAATTAATCCCGATTGTGCACTGGATTTAGTAATCCTTTACTGTATAATCCTTCTTCTCAGGTAGTTCCAGGCATTCGCCAAGGAAATTTTTCCAAACAAGATGAAACAATGATGGACTTAAGCATTCTGCCTTCCCCCAATTTCACGCTGCAGATCCCTCTTGAAGAAAGTGCTGAGAGTTCTAACTTTGTAAGCTACATGCTGGAAAAAGCTGTACAGCATTTTAAGGAACATTTTAAAACTTGGTAAGCAGAGTGCCTGATTAGGAATGTTTGTTGACAGACATATGATTCATAAAAGAAAAAAAACCTGGTTTTAAAATACCTGAAAAATATGTTCAACCTCATTAATAATCAAATACCTGAAAACTAAGAAGACAAAATAGAATTTTTTGACTATCAAATTTGAAAATTAGAAAAAAAATACAAAATCGTTATAAGAGTGTGATGAAATGGGCATTCTTGTATGTTGTTGGGGGGATATAAACTGTTTTTGCCTTTTTTAAAAGCTACATGATTATATATGTCCAGAGCCATAAAATTTCTTCCTGATAAAATAACTACTTCTGGAGTCAATCCTAAAGAATAAATCTAAATTCGATAAAAAGTCTCTCTCTACCCCAAGTGTACATTTGCAAAATTATTTAAGATAGTAAAATATTAAAAACAATCTAATTGTCTAAAAACAAGAAAATGGTTAAGTAGGTTATGGCTAAATAACTTCTAAATTAGTAGCACAATTAAAACTATACAATACTCTCATTTGGTAATATGATCAACCTTAAAGAATAATTACAATTTAATTCTCAGTTATTATTCATAAAGGACCTTGTTAGTAGGTCGCCATCAATGTATAATTAAGCTAGCTATTACTGGATTTGCTGCCTCCACCTTTACCTGTGAGTTCTAGAGGAATGTGTTTCAATTTGTATCAGTCAAACAACCAATATCATAGCCATCTACTAAGTGAAGACACAGGGTGCAGGTAACGTGGAGGGGATAGTAGTGAATTCAACAAGATCCTTTCCCAAATGAGCTTTCTCTCCAGTGGCCGGTATGGGGTTGTAAAAGATACTTGCAGGAGACAGTACTGCAAACCATTCCATGAGTGCCCAAGGGTGGGAGCCTCTGGAAGTTGAGGGGAGGGTCATTTACTTTCCTGAAGGGGGAGAAATTTCTCAGTTGAACATATTTCTTTTTTCTCTTCCTTCCCCACTCGCCTTCTCTCCTTTGCTGTTTTTCTTCCCTCCCTCCCTGCCACTCTTCTCCCTTCCTTTCTTAAAAAAATATATATATACAGTGTTATTTTATATATAAATATAAGCAATTTTATTTTACATATAATATATATTTTATTTTATATGTATGAAATAAAAATGTGGAGGTGGAAGGGAAGAACATTCCAAAAACAATTCCAAAAAAGGGGAAAGTGTGAGCAAACAGAGCAAAAGGAGTGGAGTGTTTTGGTACAAGAGATATTGAGAAGTCCCCTTAAACCCATTTCTCCCAGTAGGGCCCTCTGTGCTTCCTATGTTCAGGAACCTCCACCTATGTGAGTTTGGGTTCTTCCGCTGTAGTAACCAAGACCAGCCCAGCTAAAAGAAATGGAAGAATACTCTCTTACTCACAAAATCAAAGGGGAAGTCAGACAGCCATACCTGGGGCTCGAACTCTATAGGGTACAGTGAGACACAATAGGCTTTTGAGAAGAAAACAATATGCCAGTGCTCAAATAGGTATTGACTATGCACTTATATCCAAATAAAAATATTTTTAAACTTTTTTCTTTTATTGATTCTACAGAGAGGGGAAGGGAGGGAGAAAGAGAGGGAGAGAAACATTGATGGGAGAGACGGACCAAACCTGCAACCCAGGCATGTGCCCTGACCAGGAATTGAACCCTCATCCTTTTGCTTTGCAGGGCAACACCCAAACCAACTGAGCCACACTGGCCAGGGCCAAATAAAAATATTTTCAATAAAATCATCTGTTTGCAGATTTTGTAATGATGAGGGAGTAATGACAATGTAAAATAAGATATTGAGAAATTGAGATACTGAGCACAATATTTACTAATAAGGCGCACAAGATGATCTTTCACAAAAGCAATCTTAATGTTTTTCTTTTTAATTTAGAGTTTTTGAATTTTAAAAGTAAAAAGATCACAAATTCCAAAAATTTAGAAGACAAAAATTACCCATAATTTCACCATTTCAACAAAACTTCTATTATCATCTTACTATTTTTTTCTTATTCACGTTTTCTGCTAATTTTCTTAGATGGATTCCAATAAATGGAATTATTTATTTAAAGGTTAACATTTTATTTTTCTTGTCTATTTGATAGCGGTTATGTCTGAAGTACCACTTTCTCATCTCCTAACTAGCATTTCAATTTTTAAAACTTTACTAATAAATGGAAATTTTATCTTAGTTATAACTTGTATGTTTTTGATTATTCAAGAGAATGGACATTCTTCCAAGTTTGCTTACCAACTGAATTTCTTCTTTTGTGCATCCTATTCGGTAGAATGAATAAGATTTGTCAATATTCAGATTATATCACTCTCAAACCTACCAACAGTGAGAGAGAAAAATACTAAGGAAAAGATGAAGAATTACCTCATGATTTCCAATTATGTAAATATTTGTGTGGTACTGTAGTTGCAAGTATGTAGCTTGCTAAAATATGAATTCCAATTTTATAGGGTGGAGCATATATCTAGAACCTTCTTCTGGAACTCTCCTCAAGTAATCTAGCTTCTTGAGTGCCTGACTTTCTTGATTGGTTTGCAGAAGTGTTTTATTTCCATATCCCAACTTTCACACTTGCCAGGGCTGGGATCAACATTTACAGTCTGTAACAGAATGTCTCGCACATCCCAAGCAGTCAATATGCATTTGTTGATTGGTTTTTACCTACATGATCATCATGAAAGGCATACATAAAAAAACCCTTGAATAAAGTAACAGTCATGTCAATAAAAAGATTGCTGCCACCAAGCCAATGCCAACAGGAGTCCCCAGTCTGAAGCGGAGTAAATGGAGAAACTTTATTCAGGTGGACAGTTTGCAAACCAGAGAAATGCAGTCTCAGGTGGGAACTGAATGTGTGCTCCTCAGATACAGGGGAGGCCCACTTATATAATGTACCTGCCCTGCATGGACCATTTGCATTAAAATGGTCCCTGATTGGTCCATTTTTATGCAAATGAAGAATCCAAATTTGCCTTGTTTATTTGTCTGAATAGCACTATTCTGAGTGGCTGAAATTGTGTATCCTGATTGACTGTTATGGAGCTACTCTACTTGGTCTATAAAGATGCAAATGAAGGTGTAGCTGCTCAGCTCCAATTGGACAGGGCAGGTCTCAGCCCATTGGTGGAAATAGGATTCCAGGAACTCCTTTCTAAGGTGGGCTGAGACTGCAGGAACACAGTGCAGAAGGCTTGGCTGTTCAGTTAGTGGGTTTTCCTGGACAGGCAGTGTGCTTGAGAGGTCTCTGTCAGCAATGGCTGTTAGACTCTGGTTAGGAATTGGGGCCCAGTTACCATGGGAAATCCTTCTTGGCAGATATATTCCTTTTCCAGGTCAACAGTCACAAGCAACAGAAGTTTAAGAGCAAACATTGTATATATGCAGAGTACAGAACAGACACTAGTTTCACATCAGAGGCAGGGTCAGAAGATCAGCACACTAGGGGAACTGTGATATTCCTTCAAATAGTGCTATTAAAATTATCCATACATAAGGATTTTCTGTTATTTCGCTATTAATTTTCGTGTTAATTTTTTCAGAAGCCAACAGCATTTATTGTATTACTCATCTGCACTTTTAAAAAATATACTCAGTCTATAAGTAACTTATTAATATTTTGATTATTGCTTTTTTTTAGAAAGGTAAGAAGATCTGATACATCCTACCTCCAGCAAGTAGAATCATCACCTTAGCTGAGACCTGAAAATCCTGGAACACATGGAATAACACAGCAAATGTAGTTGCAGGGATGTTTGCCATTTACATGTTATGGAGTATTGTTAATTCTCTTAGGTTGAATGGCAGTCTAAAAACTATTCACATTGAGTTACAATAAAAATTCATTTTCAAAATACCAAATGTACATATTACTATATTCTGTGGTACATTAATAGTTCTTTATATGTATTTGTATATTAAACATTAAATCACCAAGGTATCTGTGTTCTATCACTTCTACTATATATATCCCAATTTCTAATTAACAAAGAATTCTTCTTCAATTTGCTCTTGAATTTCATGTATAATAATTAACTTTTTGAATAAATCTATGATTCATGCCTTTGTTTAGTAAAGATCTATGGCTTCTACATAAGGTTTGTGTGTGTATGTGTGGTAAAACATACATAACAAAATTTACTAATTTAACCATTTTAAGTGCACATTTTGGTGGCATTAAGTATATTCACAGTATTGTACAGCCATCACCACCATCCATTTCAACAACTTTTTCATCTTCCCAAACTGAAACTCTGTTACAATTAAACTATAACTCTCCATTTCTCCCTCCTCCCAGTCCTTTGAAACCACCATTATACTTTCTGTCTCTAAACATTTGACTACTCTAGGTACCTCATAATAAATGGGATCATACAGTATTTGTTCTTTTGCGACTGGCTTATTTTGCTTAGCATAATGTCCTCAAGGTTTATTCATGTGGTCACATGTGTCAGAATTACCTTGTGTTTTAAAGCTGGATACTACTCCATTGTGTGTATGTATCACATTTTGTTTACCAATTCACCTTTTGACAGACACTTGGGTTGCTTTCACCTTTTGGACATTGTGAATAGTGCTGCTATGAACATGGCTGTACTGTATAGTTTCTTTTTAAAATACACACAATAGTGTTCTCTTTTTTATCTATACAATATGTCATACATATTTTATGGAAAACACAAGGTGCTTTTGACTGACACTTGCATAACCTCAAAATCTGGGCCTTGATTCCATGTAATAACAGGAGAGTCATTTGCCAGTATACACGTCACTAAGAATTATATCAGGGAAAGATATATTTATAATTAGTATTTCAAATTATAAAAAGAAGTATAATTAAAGAGTGGACTCAAAACCTTTAAAGCATTTTTCAACTTAGTCTTGGGCTATTTGATAGAAAGGCTTGTAAGAGAAAGAGTTCACAGACGGTCCATTCAATATAATCAACTTCAAATAAAGACAAAGCCTTTCCGATCATAACTGGAGGCTATAAAAAAACTAGTGCACTATTGATAGGGCCCTGGATTTCTTAATATAGAATAAATCTCAAATAAATACAGCCTATTCAGTCATACATTTTATGCATTTGTCAGAGAGGATGCCAAAAAGTTGTAAAGAGAAACTAATGTATAGTCAATCAAAAACTTGTAGAGTGAAGAGAAAAGGGAGAGATTAGATTCAAAGCAGCGAGGTGGTAAAATGCCTGAGCGTGCAGGCTGACCTGGATTTTAATCCTGACTGCTGTATTTTCTAGGTGTGTGACTGGACAAGATCCTTAATCTATTGTGGATGAAAAGGGTCAACATATTAAACCTTACAAACTGAGGGAAGCCTGATTAACTCAGGGCCCTAAAGTAACCACAAAGGGTGGTCTGAAATGAAAACTTATTAACTAAAAGCCGTTTATGGCAGGTAATCATGTCCTGGGCTAGAATCTTCCCTGACAAAAGTCAATCTTTATTTACCTTAATTAAGCTCATCTATTGCCTTTTTGCATCTATGGTAACATTCCTTTAAAATGTCAAAATAATTTCCTTTATCCGGAAACCTCAAAGCACAGATACAAGACAAAGCAGGAACGTGGAAACCACAAATCCCGTCATTGTTACTGAGTTAATTGTTGACTCTTAACTATCCTGTATCCACCTACTTACAAGAAGTGTGGTCTACCATTTTACTTTTTACCCAATCCCAGAAGTTTCCCCACTTTGCTTTCTCCTGCCTCCCTGATCTATCACCAATGGATTTCATGTAACCACTTATGCCCTCTATTTTGATTGTAATGCATAAAGATGTAGAACTGCCATTCTCTGAAGCATTTTCTCAATCCGTTGAGGTTCCTGGCAATTGTCATCAGTTTGGCTCAAATAAACTCATAAAAAGGTTCTTACAGATTTGGATGTTTCTTATGTTGACACTCTCTAAACCTCAGTGACTTTATAAAGTAGTTCAAGTAAGAATTTTTGTTTTATAAAGTAGTTGTGAGAACTACACTTAATCATAATAACCATCAATAATAGTAACTTTGACTATGTAAAGAACACTCTTATGAACTACCTGACTCTCAAAAATGTTAATTTCCTGCTTTCCTTTACCTAATTATATCAACACTTTTTGAGAGTTTGTCGTGCAAAGAAAAGCGGAAGATATCCCTAAAGCAATAACATTCAAGTGTTTTTCTTCTGATACATCCTATAAAGAACCTGAAAAAGTTATATAGGCTCTTGTATGTCATTTTTCAATATAAATTGAAACAATATCAAATTTTAATTTTCCCATGTATTTGAAGTATTAATATTTTTTAAATGAAACTATTTCATCCCTCTTTAAAATCTACCCAATGGAATCTAAATATGACAAGTTGATACCCAGCATCTTTCATGTAAAAATATACAACCAAGTTTTTCCTTTAACGGTAAGAAATTTTATCTCATTACATTTTCTCTTTAAACTCTTATTTCCATTCTACTTTCCTCAGAGAACTTTATCCTAATGTAATATATTTTTATGCTTGAACATCTTTTGTTGATCAATGAAATGTAAATATTTTTAAATTTTAAAAATTAAAAGTTTCCTGGGACACAAAGATCTAAGTATCACATATTCATGCTGGATTGAGTCACCATTGTAATTACTATTTGCACATAATTGATTAAAATAACAAAGTTATTACTAGTTTTTATGACTATTAAACATAAAGAAAATTCTAATATAAATAGATCTTTTAATGAGAAGGAGCTATTCCCTTAATAAGTTAATAATTATTACTTCTTCCTAGAATAACAGAGCATCAATACCACCCTTGTTTTTCATTTTTATTTTCCTAAGTGCTGGGACATCTGCTGGCACAATGCACTCCAGGTTGCAATGCTCTTTCTCCAGATATTCCCCTACTGGATTCTCACTTTTCAGGTCTCAGCTCAAAGGTGGCCTCCTCAGGAAGGTCTGGTCTGGTGATGAGACCTAAGTAGTCCCTCTGTACCCTCTGAAGCTCTTTCCACAGTTAGAAACCATCACAGTACCTGTCACTATCTGCGAGTGTTTTGTGCGGGTGTTTATGTATTGTTCCCCTCTGCTAGAATATCAGTTCTGTGAAACCGGGGACCTCATCTGTTCTTTGCTGACAGGTGGTAGGCACTTGACATAAGTACTTATTGGATGAATAAATGAATGACATGCTGCCTGAGATTATTCATTCTACCCTACATTTATGGAGCAGCTACCAGGGAAGGAGCCATTCTCTATTATCATCAATGCAAGACCCTCCAAGTACCGCAGTGGAAGAGGAATCTCTTTGTCAGCAGGGAGCCTACTCTTATGACTTGAGATTAACCTTGGGGTACAACCGATATTCCACTGGAACAATTAAACTCAGCTCAAAACAACGAAAGGCTAATAGACGCAGAAGGTAACTTGTAACTGGGCAATCTGCGATATTTTCAGCCTGAGATCCTCCCATGGTTGAAAATGTGTGGAGAGACTTTTTGGTAGGTGTGGGGTTGAGTGAATACCTGCGTTTAGTTGACTTTCTACAGACATATTAAAACCTTGCCAAAACATGCAGGGCAATATCATGCAACGAAGAGCTCTGTAGTTCCTGGCCCACCAGGACTGTTCCTTCATGTTTAGCTTCCTTCACCTAGGGGCATGCTCAAGCTAGGCAGACCATATGAGTTCCCATTTTCCTATAAAGCCTGTTTGCTGGGTTTAGATTTTCTGGCCAAGCATGTCTCTTCACAAACTACCATCAAAAAGAACGCCCACACATCTGGAGACAGCCCACTGTCTCCTACCTTATCCAAACAGTACAACACAACACAGGAGGCCCATCATTTCCAAAGGAGATACAGGTAACTTCTTAAAACTATAATGTGGTTGGGGTGGTGAATATGCTAGAGGAGGAATAGAATGAATCTACATTGACCTAGGAAAGGCCAACCTAGTATTGTGATGGGTTAAATACACTGAAAATATCTGCTATCCTGTCAGCCAGGGGTGTCCAACCTTTTGGCATCTCTGGGCCACACTGGAATAAGAAGAGTTGTTTTGGGTCACACATTAAATACACAAACACTAAGGAAAACTGATGAACAAAATAAAGGTCCATGCATAATTTTCATGATACCTGCCACCCCAGATAAGGAAAAAAGCCCTCACATAAATAACCTTAATTATGCAGTGGCCCTTTCTATAGTCTTTTAAAATCGTTGAGCAGGTCCCAAGTTTGTGATCGCTAACATAGAAAATGTGCATATCTAAGTATTAAAACTTAGTAATAAAACTAAATAAGGTTTTAAGTAAATTTACAGTTTTGTGTTGGGCTGCATTCATGGTCATCCTGGGCTGTATGCGGCCCATGGGCCATGGGTCGGACACCCTGCTGTGAACCGATGCATTTCAGTGTACTGTGGCCTCTGTGGGCACTCATACAACCAAACAGCAAGAAAATGGGCTTTCCGACTATGAGGCTTGTGAAATGTTCCCTGAAACAATTCTTTAGTCTGTTCTTAGGTCAGTTTCTTTTTCTCTCCAATTAACCTAAATGGCCAGGTATTTTATAAATTGTCTTTGAGGTTCAATTTATGTTGTATAGGCTTTGTGCCACAAAAAGGCATGCAGCATTGTTTTTGCTGAACAGATTAGTCAGAGCTGCCAGTGAAAAATATTATCTCCTCCCAGAGTCTGTTTTCCTGTTAAATATGGTAACATTGAGTTTGAAAGGTGCACTTTAGCAAAAAGAATCCAGAAACTTGTGAGACAATGTAGGGGTAACACTCACTGGACTTCCATCTTGACTAAAAGAATTCCATCTTGGAGGCCTATGACTCCCTACTTTCAATAAAGTTCTGTAGTTAAAATTAACCTAACCACATCTTTAAAGGAAAGAATGTATAATAATAACATCATTCTTAACATGTTGTTCTGCAAAATAGTCATTTTGTCAATTTAATGATAACCAGAATGTTTATGCAAGCATTATTTTACAGGGCCTTTGGGTGGTCCTCTAACCACGGAAAAACATCTTATAACTACCCCAGGATCAACAGCCGCCTGTTGTGGATCTTGGGACAACTGACCTCATCTGAATTCTCAAGCCCCTACACACAACCCAAGGCCCCTGTGTAAGCCAGCCACAAGAACCCCTTGGGGAGCTCCACTTCTCTTTTCTGGTAGACTTCCTAGTGCACAAGCTCTTTCCAATAAACTCTATCTGCTTGATCTTGTACTGAGTTCAGTGCTCATTTCTATGGCACTGAGACTCAAGAACCTGGCATTCAAGTTCCAGTAATACTTGCACAGATAATAAATTTTTGTTTGTTGAGATTACAAACAAAAAAAACAACAAAGATAAACCATTGACTTTACTGAATGGTGAGAAATAGTGTTTAAAATGTGTCAGAGCCCACATCTTATTCGGCCTAACCCCAGACACAGCAATAAATTATTGAACATCTACTATGTGCTCAATGAACACTTGTTGATTTAAAGACTGCTTGTGTTACAGAACAGATGCGGGTGGTGAATGATATATTATTACCAAAAGGATCCCCCTTTTTTCTCTGGGAGTTCCCCTCCCCATAGTAGGTTCACTTTGCTCCCTGCAAGAGGAAAGATGTCTCTCAATGCCAGAGACTGGTGAAAAGTAAAGGCATTATTTATTTAAAAGTTATATAGACTTAGAGTAATGACTTAATGTCTTCATTAAAATACTAAAGTTCTTTAGAATACCTACAAATACACACAGTCCTTCCTTCTTCCCTTCGCCCAGTCTTGGGTACCGTATCTCAGGAAAAGAAGTAGAAGTTTGTGATTCAGGCTCCCAGCACCATCAGCTGTGTAGCCTCTATGATCTCCAGTTAATCCAAAGCCATGTGGCACTTTCTCATGGCCCACCAGCAAGAGTCCTTTTACCCCTTTTGTTTCAGCCAAAGTCTCTCCTGCTGCCTAAGCCACGTGGCAAAAGAGAGCACCCCATAGCCATGTGGTCCTCACTGTCCCTGAAGCTGTGTGGCCCCCCTTCCTGTCACAGCCAGGTGGTCCCAACTCCTCCAAAGCCTCCTAGTCCTGACCTGGGTATGGCTGCTACACCTGGGTTTAAATCCCTATTCCTCCCCCCCACCCCATGTTACTCTGCAGCCCCATTTCTGACTCCTCCCACAATCAGTTACACATGCCAGCATTCCTGTATCCTTCCAGCTTTACTGGGCTGCCATAGCAAGTCTAGGCAGGCATGGCCCCATGTGTGGTGCCAATCTTCTCAAAGCTCTCATGCACGCCCTGTGGGGGGTGGGGGGGCGCGGGTTGCTTCCCAGTTACATCCAGGGTTGAGGTCACTCCCATCCCCCTGGCTCAAAGCCTGGCCACAGATATTTAACATAGCTATGAAACCAGTTAAATGTCATAGATAGTTAAATGACCATGCCAGAGGTTAGATGCAATGCTGCTGCTGCACAAAACAGCTCTCAATGGCCCTACTCCATATGTCCCATCCCCCAGCTCAGACAGGTGGGGGATTGAGGACATCATACATATATTTTTCTCTAGTATTTCCTGAACACCTTGAGTTCTTATCCCTATTTGCACCCCCACCGTGGCTGCACCGTTATACTTGTGTGTACTTTTGTATTAGTACATTTTAAACTCATTATCAACTAGTGCCCACCCACCGTATTTACATTATAAACATTTCCCTAAAACTGCAATTTTTGTATTAAAAACTTAAGAACTTCTGGTTTCATTAACTATGTAAATAAGCTGTTTTATTACACTTGCTCCAGCTGGGCCTTCAGGGAGGAAATGAAAATGCAAATCACTTGTTAGCATGCTCCCCCATTTTAAGAAAACAGCTCAAATAAGGAGGGTTTGTTCATGTATTTCACCAATACTTGCAGACTGTTCCAAACTCTCTTTAATCAGTGAACATTGCGGTCGATCCTGACTTTCCAACTACAGCGGCCTTTCTCGGCCAATGTACCAAGATACGGATTGCATTCTAGGCTTAAAGTTCTCAACTTTTAAATCGAGCTACATTTATGCGGCCGTTTTGGGAAGCTTGCGCTTTCCCAAACCCAGGCCCGTTTTGGACCCCGTGAGCTCCGTGAGCTACGCGGCGCAAAGACCGGAGGTTATGGGGCAGGAAGGGGCGGAGTCGCTGAAAGGATGGCGGGGAAAAAAAGGCGCTCGGAAGTGGTCTTAACGTTCTGCGCACCGTTGTTCGGGTGCCTGCGGACACGCCAGCAACATGCCAGCCTCCGGACCCGAGCGGCCGCAGCTGCTCCCGCCGTCGCCGCCCGCCTCACAGGAGCAGGGCACCGAGCCGCGGCCCCACGGGGAACTGCAGTACCTTGGGCAGATTGAGCATATCCTCCGTAGTGGCTTCCGAAAGGATGACCGCACCGGCACCGGCACCCTGTCGGTGTTTGGCCTGCAGGCGCGCTACAGCCTGAGAGGTGACAGCGGCCTTGCCGGGGACGGGCTGGCGGGCGGGCGCCCTGGTGGGCTTGGAGCTGCAGCTGGGAAACCTCTGGGGGCCGCGGGCTAGGTTTAGTCCCAATCTCCCTTCCCAGACGCCGGAACTGAGGCATGAATTAGAGAGCTGATCTATGTAGAGTTTTACGGACCGGAGGGAGAGAGCTGGGGGGGTAGAACTACGCAGGCCCTTCAGGCTCCAAGACCTGTGCACTTAACACCCCGTTGTCTCCCCCAAAGCGGGTACGATCCTGTAGTGTTTGCCCGAACTAGGGTGGGAGAGGATCTGTCCCGGTTATCGCCCCTCCTCTTCAGTGTTGGCCCTTCCGTCTAGCAGTTTTTCAGATTAGGAGCCAATTTTTGTGCGCGCGATAACGACGGCGGGAAGAGAGTGAACTGAGAGGCAGGGGCGGGAACTTGGGGTTCCCGACCTTTTTTTTTTTTTTCCTTTCTAGACCCGCGAACCAGTTTTCCTCTTAAACCTTGAAACAAGAACTCGATGGTCCGAGTAGAAGTGACTATTTGTTTTTTCCTTTAAAACGGGATGGCTCCTGGGAAGAAATGTCTTTTGGGGGTTGCTAGGGTCAGGCTTTCAGGAGACAAAGTGGCAGAGTGGGGCCGTGCACGGACACATATCCTTGACACTGCTGGGGGTGGTTTTAAGGGGGGCCCTCACTATTAGTAAAGCGGATTTGCTGTGGTCAGGTGTGAACCCTGCACCCCACACACATTCTAGAAAATGGAAAGTTCCCATCTGCAGTGGAAAAGATCTGAACTGCCTTGGACAACTCTGGGAGTTTTGCTGAGCAGAGAAGGATCCACCTTCCCGCAGTTCTAGGAGTGTTGGCCTTCAATCAACCACTAACCTAGTTTTTACTCCACCTCCTATTTTTAGACCTTGGGCAAGTTACTTGTTAACCTCTCTGGGCTTAAACTTCCCCATGTACTTGGAGTGGAGGAAATAATGTTCAGGCAATAATGATAAAATTAGGTGCTTGGAAACTTTATCCTGGTTACATGGATATCAACTATACAGCTGAGTAGAGACAAGCTTTTACATTCTTATTTTCCTATTTCTTGATGCAAACTTCCGTATTCATTCCTGGTGTCTGTAAAATGGAGATCACAAAGATGCCTCTGAGAGGATTGTTTTGAAGAGTAAATAGGATCATGTATATGAAGTCTTTAAACAGTTACTGTTTAGGTACAACTGAAACATAAAGGTTATTTGCTTTGTAGATCTTTAAAAACTATTCTTCAGTTTTGACCAGCGTTATATATACTATCCCTGGCCCCTGAGCAAGTTTTCTTTGGCAGGATAATCATGGAATAGCCCTGGGAGTCTTCAGGCTTTCCGGAGGCATGCTTTATATGTTGTCTTCACACCTCTGTGAAGGAGTCTTGCCAGCAGGGTAATGGATGGTGCTCTTTCCCTGTCCCCATCTCATGTAGAACTTGTGTGTCTGGTGGTTGCGGGGCTCAGGAGGGCAGTCTCAGTGTGAATTGTGTCGCAGACTTGCCCTGCAGCCTGGGAGCTCCACCCTGATCCAGGGCTCCCACTTGGCAGGGGTCGCAGTTTTCCAGTAGGTCCTATGGTCACTCCCGGGCCTAAGGTCCTGGGGAAATTTTCTTCCACAGAGAAAGTTGGATGGCATGTGCTGTTCTCCCATTTTGAAATTATATGGCAAACTGTTTTTCAGATGAATTTCCTCTGCTGACAACCAAACGTGTGTTCTGGAAGGGTATTTTGGAGGAGCTGTTGTGGTTTATCAAGGTAAAGAAGGGAAGTTAGAAAGCAGGCACAGAGCCTAGGTTGTGTGGGACTGTCGTCTTGCTTGTACCCACTATGGCACACCATACCTGAAGATACCAGAAGCCAGTGGGTGTCTGTCCCTGACCTAGATGCACAATCAGGATACAGGTTAGGATGACAAGCGCCAAATCTAATAAGATGAAATATAAAAGAAATGAACATGAGGCATGTCTTGGCAAAAACAAGTCAACTATGCAAGTGTAGGTTGGGATAAACGTAATTCAATAACAACACATAGAAGATATGTGACATCCATTTTGCCAGGAAAGCTAGTGCTGATTAGGCCAATCACTAGAAATATTGTATATACCAGCTCTAAGTTACTCCCAACAGATTGCACATGAAACATTAATTTCGTTTTGGGAATCATGTTTGGACACAACACATTCGGTTAAGAAACACGAAACCACTAGATGGTGTGGGAATAATTAAAGGACTTGGAGGTGTGTAGTCTAGAAAATTTCGTTGAAAGGAACAGGAAAAAAGTTTTTTTGGGGGGGGGTCGTTCCAGAGAAGGGATCAGACTGGCCTGAAGGCCATCCAGAGTTTGGGCTGGGACCAGCCTGCTTAAAGAGAGGACAGGCTGCCCTGGCTGGGTGGCTCAGTTGTTTGGAGCATTGTCCCGTACACAGAAAGGTTGTGGGTTTGATCCCCGGCAGGGGCATGTATGGGAAACAACCAATCAATGTTTCTCTCTCTCTCTCTCTCCTCTCTCTCCTCTCTCTCTTTCTCTCTCAAATCAATAAACATATTTTCAGGTGAGGATTTTTTTTAAAAGGACAGGCTGCGTAGGGATATATTGAATGCCTGTTGGCAGCTTGGTGGGGGCTCTTGGTGGATGAGCCCACATGGTTCCAAAGTCTGCTGGGTGAGTGAATTCACCTGCTCTGCTCTCCCATCTCTTCCAGGGGTCCACGAACGCTAAAGAACTGTCAGCCAGGGGAGTGAAAATCTGGGATGCCAATGGGTCCCGTGACTTCCTGGACAGCCTGGGATTCTCTAGCAGAAAAGAGGGAGATTTAGGACCAGTTTATGGCTTTCAGTGGAGGCATTTTGGGGCAGAATACAAAGATATGGATTCAGGTGAGGAGACTGTGCTGCCTCAGATATTTGAGCACCCTTCATAGCTTCATGGTTTCAAGTGAAGTGTTGGGGATAAGAAGCCACTGTCTGGGGAGCTGATACATAACTTGAATGTTGTGAGAGGCTGGTTCAGGTTCGGGAACTGCAACTACACTTCGTGGAGGTCAGGTCACACTCTCAGTGATTAGCATTGGGTGCTTGGCACTTTCTGTACCGTGTTTCATTAGCAAATAATGACACAGTTGGTCGCTGTGTCAGGGAATAAGGTGGGAAGTTCATCAGGGGGACTAAATACCCAGAGATTGCCTTGCAGAGGCTTCGATCTCCCTTTTCAACACTGAGCGGCCCTTCACACTGTAGGTGGCACTGATGTGGTAACCATTTCTGGTGTTGCCATCTCCCCTCCACCCTGCTGGTGGAGAAAGATGAAACATCTCACTAATGGATGTCCACCTCCCCTTGTCACTTGGTGGTGCCATTTGCTGAATCCAGCCCAAGTCCTTTGCCCCTTTGTCCCACTTATCCTTAAGTCCGGTTACAAAAGCAGATGTGTCCCTCTGACTGTGTGCATACATGGTGTGTGCAGGAGGTGACAGTTTGCTGGCTGGGCAAAAACCTTCCACCTGGAGAGCATGAGTATCATCCAAAGGAGACAGTCACATCTCCAGCCAGCTAAAGAGATGTCAGCCTGACATTGTCATAATTCTTCAATTAAAGCCTAAAATATGCATTTTCTGTGTAATCTTGAGATCTGAATGTTGGCAACTTCATTAAGTTTTAAAGTGCTGGGCAGACCTGTATTAGGCAAATTCATAGAGATAGATAGAATGGTGGTGGCCAGGGGTGGGGTGGGGGGTGGTTAATGTTCAAAGGTATGGAGTTTCAGTTTAGGGAGGTGAAAAAGATCTGGAGGTGGATGCTGGTGATGGTTGTACAACATTGGGAATGTACTTCATGCCACTGATTGCAAGCCTAAAAATGGTTAAAATGGAACATTTAATGTTATGTAAACTTTAAGGAGTGTTGTGTGGGCCAAATTATTTCTGTAAGTAAATGGTCTGCAACCTCTGTCCTAGGACACCTCAGGCTGTGAAGCTGCTTCCCTGCCTAAATTGTGCCTGAAATCCTGCCAAGTGTTCAAGTCTCTATTGTTGCTTAAGGGGCCTAATAAAATCATGGCCTCAGTTTAACATTGCATGAATGCTCAGCTTTTGGACTTCAGTAAGAGTGTTTGTCCTTTTTATTTAAATTTTAATCTTTAAATAATTAGGAGTTCAAGTACAGAGCAGTCCCTGTACCTTTTACCCAGTTTACCCCAAAGGTAACATCTTGTACAAATTGACATGGGCAAAATCCACAAGAGCTTATCAGATTTCTCCAGTTTCACGTGTATTCATTAGCACATGTGGGTATGCAGTTTTAGCACATGGTGTGTAGCCACCACCAAAGTCGAGATACAGAACTGTTCCATTACAGTTCATCTTTTTAAAACCTTTGATACTACCTTTCCGGAACTGACTGTGTCCAGCTTTCCTCCAAAAAAATTAAGAACTGCGGGACTAGAACAATGTGACACCAATGAGTGGAAATTTAACCAGAGAAGAATGTGAGATTCTGTACTTCTCAGCTTCCAGTTCTGCTTTAGAAGGAAGGCCAGGAGTTAAAGTCCAGAGACCACAAATGGGAGAAAAGTACAAAAGTGGTATAATATGGGTTTGCTGATATTTACAGATGACTTGGCATTTACCTGCTAAATTGTAATTTTAGATGCAACTGTTGGAAGGATGCTGTCAAGGTCACAGAAAGGAATCCACAGTCCTCTGTTAGTCATTAATGTGTATGGAACTGTATGTTCTATTTAAGGCCTAGTAGTTTCTGTGGGACATGGATAAACAAGAGCATGTCCATCGGGCATGACAGAAATGGTAGACGGGTGTAGAGACTAAGTCTCCTGGGGACCACTGGAAGAAAGTGTTGAAATGGGGGAGGGAGAGGAGGTGACACCATGACCAACCAAATATTTAAAGGACTTTTATATAGGAAGAAAAATAGACTTTGTTATGGCTCTAGAAGACAGACCTAGGAGCCTAGACCAGGCCTTAAATTAAACATAACCCAGTGAGATCCAAGAAATTTATGGAGTGCATTGGCTATCTTATAACCATGAGCCAGAGGGAACTGTGGAAGGACAGTGTGATAGACAACGTGTGACGCCATCTCATGAGATGCTGTGATAAATGTGTGCACGTTTTCTCTCTTTGGTAATTCTACAGATTATTCAGGTCAAGGAGTAGACCAACTGCAAAAGGTGATTGACACAATCAAAACCAACCCTGATGACAGAAGAATCATCCTGTGTGCTTGGAATCCAAAAGGTGGAAAGCGTCCTGGCCATCCTCTCATGTCCTCACTGTATGATTAGCACATGGGGAGGCAAGGAGGCCTTGTGCGGGGGCCTCCTGCGGGAGACGGGTCCTGGGAACTGATCCAGCCCCATGGCTCCTCGGGTGACCCTGGGCACGTCACACTTGGCCATATTTTCACCCTCAGATTCCCTATAAAAATACTTGTAAGATTTTAACATTTTAAATTGGGGCAGATGACATTTCAGATCCCTTTACCTTGATATTAAGACTTTTAGCAATGGTATTTTAAAATTAAACTTTACCATGGTGTAATAAAGACTCTGAGTGGAATATCTACATACACTATAGAGACTTGGAATACAGAAGGGTGTTCCCAACACCCTAGTTTCCTGCGGCCTCTGCAAATGAGTTCATGCTTCCTGTAAGGGTAGCACAAATAGTTAATTTCAGCTCAGATGGGAGGGTGTTGCTTCAGTTGTAAACATCACAGAAAGCTCCTGCTAATGGACAGGTCCCTGTCAGGTTTGTGCCATTCCTGGGATTGGAACAGTGTGCTTTTGCCATGAGGGGAAGGTGGGTCACAGGGGTCAGTATGGCCCAGTGGCTCTTTCTCATGACCCCCCACTTACGAGTAGGTTTGTGCGTCGCTCCTATTTTACTTTGCTTATAGCTGTGCTCTTTAAAACAACCGCCTCTCCTTATTTTTGTCCATGCTGGCTCCTCAGATCTCCCTTCCATGGCCCTACCTCCGTGCCATGCCCTTTGCCAGTTCTATGTGGTGAATGGTGAGCTGTCCTGCCAGCTGTACCAGAGGTCAGGAGACATGGGCCTGGGCGTGCCCTTCAACATCGCCAGCTACTCCCTGCTCACCTACATGATCGCACACCTCACTGGCCTAAAGGTGGGCGATGCTTAGGAAGGGGGTAGTTGCTTGTCTAAAGTGCTGAGCTCTTGGACTCTTTAACACGAAAAAACTGAATTGCACAGAATTCTTATTAGTTTTAAATAAAAAATGAACTGACTCACTTTGTAACTTTACATGGAACTTTCCTGTCCTTGTGGTCTATACGAACAGGTTTATATAGGTTATTTATAATACAAGATAACTTTTAGGAGTTAACTTTTCTTAAAAGCAACACTGGTTAAATTCTTTACTTTCTGAAAAGCTTTGAGATGTCGGCCTACTCCATATAATGTGTTTTGAAATGATATGATGGTGTGTTGTAAAGGGATTAAAACTAAAACACTTACTGTTTTGCTTCCTTCCATGCCATTCAGCCAGGTGACTTTGTACACACCTTGGGAGATGCGCACATTTACCTGAATCACATTGAGCTGCTGAAAATGCAGGTAAGAATTGTTATTTACCGCACTTTGAAGATTGGTTGTGTTTCTTGATAAAATGTTGATTCTTCCTGGTGCTATGACAGAGATAAGGTGACCTGCTTTGACTGCAGAGCCCCAGTTTAGGGACAGGTGGGTGGCAGGTGGCCAGAGACAAGGCAAACACATGTCTCAGCAACCAAGACACCTAATGTGACATGTGCCATGGGGGACTAAGTACCAGTGTCAGAGAGGGAGAGCCACATTCAGACCAGAGAATTTGGGACCTTCCCAGAGGTGGCATTCAACCATATTTTTACTTAGAGAATTTAAATGCAAATGTTCTGCCTTAATTTTATGCTAAATACAATATTTAGGTCTGAACTTTCAAAAATCTGTTCAAATCCATAAATTGTAGCAGCCAACAAATGATTTGAAATAGCAATAAAATGAGTATCTGTGCATAAAGAGACCCAAGATAAAAATGACAAACCAGCCCTGGCTGGTGTGGCTTAGTGGATTGAGTACTTGCCTGTGAACCAAAGGGTCACTGGTTCGATTCCCAGTCAGGGTACATGCCTGAGTTGCAAGCCAGGCACCCAGTAGGGGGCTCACAAAAGGCAACCATACATTGATGTTTCTCTCCCCTCTTCTCCCTCCCTTCTCCTCTCTAAAATTAAATTAAAATCTTTTTTAAAAAATTACAAACCAAAAACATTTTAGGCCCTTCCAGGTTAGGTCCAGGCTTAGAAGACTCCTTTGAGAAAATCGGTCTGCTTTGACTTGGAGGGTGACTTCAAGGCTTACAGATGCTTCTCTCTGGCCGTCCCTGTCATGCTGGACAGAATAACTTAAGGACACCTGTGTCCATACCCTCATTGCCACTGTGCCTCCCTTTCTGTTGTCAACAGATGTCACCTTTCCTCGCCCTTTCTGCCAGGGACTGTTGGATTGGGGATTATGGGACTCACGTAACCATTCTGAGTACCTACCAACAATTACAGATAAAAAGTAAAAGACTGTGTCCCATCCTTCATAAATTTACCAAGAGCAATTAATCATAAGAACTTACACTTGGTGAGCCACCAGGCTCCTGACACTGAATGATTCCACAAAGTACCCTCCTCTCTGCATGTGTATGAGGGCATCGCTTAGTTATGCTCCAGTATTGTATAACCATGGAAAAGGTATCTACAATATTACACCCTGTAGATAAAATGCTGTGTACTTATTTCATGAAGGGACATGGGGAGCAGAATTAAAGCAGAATTAGATACAGCAAAATAATGGTCTTATGTTTTTATCGTTTTTTATCTTTATTTTTTTAGATGACTCCTTTTTTTTTCTTTTTAACTTTATTTTGGTTGTCTTGTTTGCCCACCTCCCCACTTACGTTGTTTTTAGCTTCAGCGAGAACCAAGGCCTTTCCCAAAGCTCAGAATCCTTCGAAAAGTTGAGACAATCGATGACTTCAGGGCTGAAGACTTTAAGATTGAAGGGTACAATCCTCATCCGACTATTAAAATGGAAATGGCCGTTTAGAGTGCTTTTAAAGGAGTTGTTTAAAGGACACTGTGAATCTTCTTAGGGGTTAGTTGTTAGTTTGGGTGCTTTGTTGGAAATTTTTTTTGCTCTAAAGTAAGAAGAAACTAGGTGAAAGATCAGTTGCTAACCTGTCAGTTATTCATTAAGACTGGTGCCACTGGCAAATATACCTGTGCTGGTTCTGTTAGTGACAAAGGGCCTTGAGTTCCGTTAACAACCCAGTGAGGGTACATGCAAATGCTGAGACTATGAATAAAATGAGAATAGTAAAAATGTACACACTCCTAACAAAAACATGAACGTGCATTTCAATCCCATGTTTGTATGAAGGTTAATGATTTCAAGAATTAAAGCTGTTCCCTCAAATTTGAGCAAACTAAACATCAGTCATAATGTATAGTTGGTGTGGTTATCAATATATACGATTTTATTTGTTTTATACATTGTTATAATAAAGAATTGTTCTGCATTCATCTGGGTTTTTGTTTTTAATTCTCTATTGTCGTTCTGCACAGTTCCTACCTAAAACAGAAGAATTGAACCCTCTTAAATAAACATGCTGTATTCTTGTTTGGATGCTGCTGAGAAAGTAGCATGTGTTTTAGAAATGCTGACTAAACTATATTTTAAATTTTTTCTGTGATTTATCTAATTCTAGCTACATTTTATTAGTAAAAATTATTTCAGATAAATGGTTTTTTTAAGGTTATAAAAGACAGTCTGTGATATAGCACTTTGCCCTCACTAGCTTCAGTGTGATGTGAGTTCTGTAATGAGCGTGGGCTGAGCTGGAAAAGAGACGCGGCACCACTTCAGGGGGATCTTTGTATATTTGTTGCATACCAGATACCCCACGGTGCTGCAGAACTATTTTTATTCTGCTAATTTTTGACAAGTGTTAAGTAGAATAAGGAATTGTTCCAACAAATTATGCAACTTGCTTCTTATTTTCAAAGTACAGTTTAATTAATGTCTGGGTACCAGCATTTGATAGAAATCTTATAAGAACATTTTCCTGGATTTCAAGTTAGTTAAATCTAAATTTGCTTAAGTATTAAGTAAAAGAGTTTGTGTTTATTTGCTAAAAGAAGTAGTAATAATTGCTGAGCAGATTCCTGAGGTTAATGTGACTTTCAGCTGAATTTGTTTTCATTGGTATGATGATTTTCTTTCCCAATTTTTGTAAAACCATACCCAAGAAATTTTAAGCCTTTTCACTTAAAAAAACAAATGGGCATGAAGAAATTTTAAGCCTTTTCACTTAAAGAAACAAATGGGTGTGAGGGTTGAACACTTAGTTTCCTTGAGCAGCAAGGAGTTTCTTCCAGACTTCACCATCTGGATATTGGTGTTTCTTTACGGATTCCTCCTTCATTTCTGTGGAATAACCAGCTTCCTATCAGACAAAAAGAAAAATGGAGTAGTGCTAGTAACCACCTGGAAGAAAAAGCATTTCTGTATTTCTGCTGCTCCTGTAAATGCTTTTAAATCTATGCCAGAGGCAACTGAGTTAATATTTTTAAGATAAATTTTCTGGTTGTTTGAAATGGAGGAGAGGGCACCCTATTGGCCACTTCCCAGGACTGGTGAGCTGATCAAATTTCCTCTGATAGGTCAACCCCTGTGTGTGAAAATAAGGCCTGATCTCTTGAAAATGTTGAGGATAAATGGCCCAGATAGCATAGCTGTAGTTAAAACTTGTCAGTTGACTGATCTGCTGGTCAGTGCCAGGTTTTCCTTTTTTTTTTTTTCTTTTGGTTTGTTTTTTTGCACAAGGAGTGCACATTTTAAGGACTCAACCTGTGAGGAAAGGCTGACATTAGAGAAGCCTCATGCGCGAAAATTTTACCCCCACACCCTGACCTTCAGGTCTTGGGAATTTGAGGTTGATGAACTAAAGAGCCATTTGTTTCTAGATAAGAAAATAAACTCCTAAGGAGTCAAAGCTTTGTGCTCTAGCTCATGCAAACCAATACAGCAGTGGCTTCCTCAGGGATGCCTTCCTACCAGAGCTCACCTTGGGAGGCATGTAAGAAGCATTCTTGATTATCACAGGATACTTGAAATGTTCGTGCAGGTGGTCAACATATTCGCACATCCTAGGAGGAAGAGATCAGGTGGGGCAATAATGCTTTAAGTTAGATAATTCACTTCTTGCCAGCTATTAAAGCAGAAAGGGTAGCCCTGGCTGGTTGGCTTAGTGGATAGAGTGCCAGTCTACAAACCTAAGGATCAACACAGAGAGGCAGCCACACTGATGTTGCCCTCTCTCCCTCCCACTCTCTAAAAATAAATAAATAAAATATTTTAAGAAAAGAAAGGGTGGACTTTGTCAAGGCTTGGTTGATAATCATGTTTCCCTCAACCTCTGTGCCTCCGGTTCTTCTCATCTGTGAAATATAGCAGTGTGGGGGTTTGGATGAATTGAATTGTGAAGTCTGTTTTAACTAACTAAAGGTTTTATAACCCCAAAAGGAATCAATTTAGACTCAATAAAGACCTGGGATTATTTGGGTGACTTTAGCCAAAATTTAGATGAATAGATTAAAATCACCAAATGGGGTTCCTTCTAGCTATACACATGATTTAGAAGAGCACAGGTTTTAGAATGAGACCAACCTGTTCATATTTGGTGTCAGCTACTTTCTGGTTTTGTGACCTGGGGTAAGTGGCCTAACTCTGCTGCCTAACCTTAGTCATCAGCTAATGACAGCTGCTGTGAGGGGCAGGCATGTGCCTGTGGGGAGGCTACACAAAGAAATTGGCTAAAGAGGGTCTCGTGGTTTCGGTGGACATACATGCTAAGTCATCAACTCTACTGTTTGCTACCTATAATCTGTAGAGACAGATCAAGAACCAGCCCCCTGGGAGAGACAGGTAGGCCTTGAGGACTGAACAGAGGACAGTGTTCCACACAGAATATTACAAAGCAGTGGTGTTGAGGTGTGACAGCACAGTGTCTGCCTATGGCTCGCTACTTGCACAGTGGCATTCCTGAGCAGTGAGGTCTGCTTTCCAGAGTGGAACGAGGCACTTTCACCCACTCCTTTGGGGTCACAGTGCATGGTGGCTCAGGGCTGACCCATTTTTTCTCATCTCTCAAGACCAGAGCCTTTCAAAGTTGGTTGGAACCCCCTTGGTTCTGCCTTCAAGAAATGATATGAGGGGCAAAATCAGAGTAACTTAGGGATTTCTAAAAATTTAATCTTTATTGTATTTTTTTCTACTACCATTTAGTCTTTTTCTCCTCCCCCCAGCAATCACCACACTGTTGTCCATGTCCATGAGTCCTTTTGGGATTTTTTTTATAGTTTAAAATATTTATGACAGCCCTGGCTAGTGTGACTCAGTGGATTGAGTGCTGGCCTGTGAACTGAAGCATTGCCAGTTCGATTCCCAGTCTTGGGCACATGCTTGGGTTGTGGGCCAGTTCCCCAGTAGGGGGTGCATGAGAAGCAACCACACATTGATGTTTCTCTCCCTTTCTTTCTCCCTCCCTTATCTTCTCTCTAAAAATAAATAAAAATCCTTTAAAAAATAAAATACTTCTAACATTAAAAGGCAGTGTGTGCCTACTCATTATCCAGCTTGGAAAAGAAGCCAGTACTTTATAACTGAAGCCCCCTATATACCCTGACCGGTCCCATTCCTTCCTCACAATCCTGAATTGTTTGGTGTTTACCTTTGCCACACATGTTCTCTTGCTTTCACTACATACTTCTAGGGATCTTTCTGTGACACCACGTTTAATTCCAAGAGAAAAGAACATAATAAATCCATATGTGTATAGATGACTAAAAGGAGATTGTCTTAATTTAAAGCTCACCTGGGGCCTGTTGAGAAATCAGATGGAACTAAATAATAATGATGTGACCAAATCAGGGAAAACTCAGGAAGAGGAGCTTGGACAGAGTGGAGAACACACCTATGATGACAGCGGGGCTTCAGAAAGTCAGAAACAGGTGCTGGTTGAGGAAGGAGTTCCAGTTTTCATCTGGTTGAAAACTTACCTCCTAAACAGTGATTCTATTACCAAGAACCTACCCCTCTAAAAGAAAATACTTCACTGCTAGGTCTCCTTGTTGCTGCCCTTCATGGAGAAGTGGAAGCAAAATGAACTTGGTCTTTGAGTCACAGAGGGTGCCAATGGGCAGGGTTCTTTGTGCCTCTGGTCACAAGAGCAGGGTTAAAAGATCTGGCCCAAGCCCTGGCTGGCGTAGCTCAGTGGACTGAGCGCGGGCTGTGAACCAAAGTGTCACAGGTTCGATTCCCAGTCAGGGTACATGCCTGGGTTGCAGGCCATGACCTCCAGCAACCGCACATAGATGTTTCTCTCTCTCTCTATCTCCCTCCCTTCCCTCTCTAAAATAAATAAATAAAATCTATAAAAAAATACCAATTTATTAAAAAAAGATCTGGCCTGGACGGAAGTACACAGCTGAAGTTAATGCCATATTACTCACCTGTTCGTGAGGCTTGCGGAGACTGATATGAAGTCAAATATAATCAGGTGCTGCACCAATTCACAGAGGCCGACTCCACCGGCATGGGGGCAAACAGGAACTGAAATGAAGGCAGGTTTCTACTGAATGCCAAGAGTTGGGCAGAGAGAGGGAAGGGGTGCAAGATTACAGTATTTCTTACTGCCTGCAAGTGATTAAATCATTCGTTAATGTTTAGGGATGAAATTCCAAGATGAAAATCATCAAAGATAACCTGATTAAGCCTAAAAGACAAAAAAAAAAAAAAGGCAAACTACAGAGGGAACCACAGGTGTCTCATGGTCGGGGAAATGGAGGTTTGGTCTCCAGGCTGCTGTGTCCTTACTTCCAAACTTTTTGGCCATCAGCAATACTGAGAGGTTCTCGTTGACACTTCCCAGCCTGCAGCTGTCAATCTGGAGAAACTGCAGGGCTTTCGCCTGTAGGAGCTGCTTAAATATCACTCTATTGTGGCACTGAAAATAGAATTACAATAAAACCAACAGAAGAATCAGCCTTGGCCTTCAGGATCTCTAAACCTGACAACGCACCAATTCTAAGTCACTCATTAGTGACCTTCAGAACACCTGCACTGTGTGTATTCTTTGTTCTCACTTGGCATTAGGCATGCTCTGATTGCGCAGGTGGGGACTGCCTGCTCACTGCTTACAAGTCTGCTGGTGGAACAGTGAGTCATGTGAAGTCACACTGCTTGCTATCTTTTAAGGAATAACTGCCATAGTGAAATGAGGCATCAGGGTGAAATACAGGACAGCAATGAGCAGGTGGCACGGACAGCAAAACAACCATGGCAGAGCAGCACTGCTCCTTCTGCTGGGAAAACCGAGACTCTGCTCCCTGTCTGTGCTCTGCTCCTGGGCTGGCTGCCACAGGTTTTGGCATGCACTTGTGCTTCACTTGTAAACACAAAATGTGAACGCAATCATGTTTACTCAAGTTGGAAGCTGGCTTTCTCAGAACCACACTGCATTGTATGCCCTTGCAATAACAGCAAGTTTAAATTGCTGCCTTATAAATTTCTTTCTGACACTTTGATAAGAATGACCTTAGTCATTGAATTTTAGAGTAATCCAGAAACTTCTGACTATATCTGACTCTTCACACTAATGAAGTGCTGTAAAATGATCCAATTTCTAAGATTATGAAAATTTCCCAACTCAAGATACAACAAGTTTTATAGCCTAACATGACAATGTCATCAATAGGTGGCTGGGGTGCACTGACCCTACGGACACGTCACTTACCTGTTCTCCTGTGGCAACGCCAATTCCTAATGGGGCCAATGCCTATAAAATACAAGACAACCTGGTGTTATTTTCCTAAGTTTTTGAACTGAATGTTCAGTGTTTAAAATTTAGAGCTATTTATTTAATGTTTAAATATTCAGAGCTGAAGAAAGGATGTCCAGCCGCTGAGTGGCACGAGGCAGTCAAGGGGAAGTGCAAGCACACAGGAGGGGCTGCCTGCGTCTGCAGAGGGGAAAGGCCGTGCTTATCATGTGCTGCTCCCTTCCTGGCTCCGGCTGTGCAGGTTCTGTCTGGAGCCCAGGCAGTGAGGCGGAACTGGGAGAAGACAGGAGCCACTGTGGCCTGTCGGCTTGTCACAGACACGAGCGGTTCAGCCCCTGACTGAGTCCTTCTTATAGGTCACCACTCTCTTTATTCCCATCTTCTTTCCCCCTTCAGTGGTTATTCTAGAGCCCTGTCCCTTCAAGCTCAGTGGGTGGCTACAGATCTTGCTTCACAGGTTGGGTTCAGGGGGTGAGGTACTGGAATCTTCTGGTGATGCTGCTCTTTCTGTCTTCCCTGCTGAAGCTACTTCACTCCCCACCACCTGGGCTCTAGGCCCATACCTCCCCAGGTCCCACTGGGACTGCACAGCCACACGCTCCCCTCAGGCATGTTTGGTTTCTCCATGGCTTGGCTTTCCCATTGTTTAGGGAACAATATCAATGAGGCTAATGGCTAACAGTTTCTGGGCTCTTATCTGGCTTTGTGCAAAACCCTGAGTGAACTGACTCCTCATCACAACTCAGTGGGATAGAAGCCATCATGATCCCAATTTCACAGATGAAAAAAGGCGCACAGGTGTATTAACTGTCCTAGATCAAAGTTTAGAAAGTTGTGGAGCCGGAGCTTGAAATTTCAGATGACTCCAGAGCCAGTGGAGGCATCTGAATCACTAGGTATGCTGACTTTCCTGAAGGAAAATTCTTAATTTAGGAACCAGGTGTCCCCAGTTCCACTCCCTGGCCTGTCTCTAACAAGATGTGTGGATTTGGGTGAGTCATAGCCTACCCGCAAGTCAGGAGTTAGAGCAGCTGGTCACCAAGGTGCCATTAGCACCAACAGCTTATGGTTCCTGAAACTCCTAATTTAAGTAGGCTGGGTCCTTTATCTCAAAAAAAAATGGGGATGGAGAGGAAGAAAGATGGTGGGGAGGAACAGCCATTTGACTTATTCATTCTACTATCTTTAAAGCATGTTTCTAACTCTGAATAGGTACCAAATTTTATTTCCTCCTTTAAATATTTCCTCAATCTGCCCTATTCTAGTTGTCCTCCTCCCCACTTAATGCAAAAGCCCCCTAGCCCCTATCCCAGCCTCCATTCTCTTTCTGCCCATTCCTCACCTCTCCTACACCCCCATGTCGCCCAGCCTACACACTGCTACCAGTCAAATTGTCTTTACTCCCCTTCTCTCATTCAAGAACCTCAAGTGCTGTGCTGTGTTCCGCTGCCTCTTCTGAGCAGGTGGACCCATAACCTGGCCCCATGCACCTGCCGTCTCCACAGCCCCCACCACGCACTCCCATTCCACTGGTCCCTCCGTAGCCCTACTGTGCTGGCTCACTCAGCTCCCCCAGCCTCGGTTTCTCTTCCCCACCTTCTTCAGATGCGTCTGAGGGGACGGCCTCCCCCACACCCTTGGAGGGTTGAAGCCCAGGAGAGCTTCTGAGGAGACCCTCCAGGTGGCAGAGGTTCCAACCTTCTTTCTACTGCCCTCAGCACTCAGAGCCCTGGCCCCACGTTCCGCCTGTCTGTTCCATGGATCCTAGTTTTCTCTCCAGCCAGGCTGTAAAGTGGGGAAAGTGGAGGGCACTCCTTAAACACGGGTTTTTGTGGTGTCGAATATACGGAAATCTTATGTTGATTTACTGAGAGACATGGACCCCACATCCCAGTAGGACCTGTGACTTCATGTAGGTACATAATGAGGCATCCCTCCTGGAACTGGGGACTAAGACTGTGCTCAGAGGGAAATTTTAAGAGCAGCAAGTACAGAGGGGAGAGTAGAGCAATGCCAAGTCGCCTCAAGGAGAAAAAACTGTTCCTAGGCTCCTAGGTGGGTGGGGCTGGCCTTTAAGCCAAATGAACGTACTAACCCAATGGCACAGTGTGGTGGGAAAAGGGTATCAGATGAAAAAATGAAAGGGGGGTCAGAGGTGTATGTTAGCAGGGCCTGCACAAGGACTGTCTAGGGAGGTTTAAGCCTCAGCACGGCTGGGGCCAGACAGAGGCAGGTATATCTGCACTGCAAAGATGGATGTGTTGGGCCACCTCAGTCTGACGTCACCACACTCTCAAACCCCATAACCAGTTCCTGCCCTGATTCCTCACTCATCCAGTAGCCTTCGGTTGCATATGGCTACTCATGGAGCTTGCTCTGGTCAGAGGATACAAAATCTAGATCTCCCAGAAGTTACAATTTTCCTTCTAAATTAACCAACTGGCATTCTGGTTTTATATATTCGTGCTGTAAGCTGAGCTAATGGGAGACTCTCTGAGAGATGAGATGTTTCTCAGATGTTCTGACAAGTCAGGTTCTAACTAACCCTGGAAGGGAGCACGGCCAGCCCCCAGTCGGGGTGGGTTTGTGCAAGAAGAGCCCTGGTACGAGGGAAACAGGCAGACGGCCTTATCTCGGGGAGGCCTGGCCTTGGCGCAGCTGAGCAAGCCTTTTCTTTTGAGTCATCCAGAGGAATCTACATTTTTTGTTTTATTCTCAGTGAGTAAAATATTTAGTGTCAATCAGATTTCTATTTGTAGTCATGAGAACCATGTCTGTCAACACTGACAAAATGGTTGGCGTGGCCTTTCAGCTTTTAGCCATTTACTTTCTCTAAAATAAATAGAAATAAGGTCAGTTGATAAACTGAAGTGAACGATTACTTCACCTACTTCATCAGGAAAAGTGAAGGGGGATAAGGGAAAGAATTTTAGGATCTGTTGTGGCCACCCTGGAAAACCAAGCAGAAAATAACGTGACAGTGACAGGACAGCAGCAGCTGTAGTTTTTCTACCTCGGAGATGGTGGCGTGTCCCAGAATGTCATCAGGGGAGGTTGGCTCCTCAATCCACAGTGGCTTGAACTCAGCCAGCTTTGACATCCACTCCACTGCCTCGGGCACATCCCAGCGCTGATTGGCATCCATCATCTGTAAGGAGAGACCTGGGAGGTAAGGTCTGCCAGGGGCTGACCTTGCTGCAGGGCTGTGGCTCCCAGAAAGGAAATGCTGTCACTAGTACCACCAACTGATGAGCAAGGCTCCCCTAAGGAGCCTGACACTCCATCTTTGGAGGACCAGCATGCAGCCACAACAAAGGGAATCAACGAGCAGCCACTGCTACCAGAATTTGGGCTCCAGATACTGCAAGTCTTCAAATTATGAGATGCTGCAGGAAATTTACTCTTGTTTATATCAATTAGCCTATGGTAAGGCTGGTTTCCTTACTCATCGTTTCACCTACAGTCACAGAACCTACCGATGACATAAGTGAGGACTTCCTGTACTGTCTGTCTTTGGAGGGGATGTCCGGAAGTGCCCTGAGCTGGGCCCTCGGCAAGTGTTCACTGGCCCTGGAGCTCTGACCCAGTCTGCATTTAGGTGCCACCCAAATACATTCGTGTTGCAGTGTTCATTGTTTGTGGGAACCGTTTTACCACATTCTAAATCGTGCACAGCCAATACTGAGTTTGGTCAGTGGTCATTTATGGGTGCCTACCATGTTTCTGGCGTAGTAATAAATAACCAGACTCCACCATTAGTTTAGCATCTATGCCACTAGGCATTTTATGCATTTTCCCCATTTAATATTTATAATAACTCTATGAAACAGTTCATATTAACCCATTTTACAGCTAAAACTGACATGCAGAAAAGTAACTTGCCTACGAATAATAAGTCAAGTAAGTGGTAAGTTCAAGTCTAGGCCCCTTACTCCAAGGCCCTAGCTCTCTTTGTGCAGAGACCCTGCCTGGGAGCCAGGTGCTGGGTCTGCAGAAACTAACAAAGGGCTCCTCCATCCCTGACACTATCACGCTTCCAGAAGAGAGACACAGAAACAGCCATCTCTTGTACAGCGATATTGCACCTTTTTCATCTCATGGCACACATAAACTAATTACTAAAATTCCATAGCACACCAAAAAATATATATTTTTTGCCGATCTGACAAAAACTAGACATAATTTTGATTAATTTATGGAAAAAATAATAGTAATTACCTACACTTTTTGTTCCAAAGTGACTTTTTAAAAAATCAGGTGTTGCCTTGGCTGGTGTGGCTCAATAGGTTGAATGCCAGCCTGTGAGCCAGGGGGTCACTGGTTTGGTTCCTGGTTCGGGCACATGCCTGGGGTACAGGCTGGATCCCCAGTTGGGAGTGTGCAAGAGGTGACTGACCAATGTATCTCTTACACATCGATTTTTCTCTCCCTGTCCTTCTACCTCCCTTCCTGTCTCTAAAAATAAGTAAAAGCTTTTAAAAACACCAGGTGCCAATACTTGTACATAAGTATCTCTGGTACCAAGAATTAACCAATTAGACACAGCCTTGTTATGCAACATGACCAATAAGATGCAACTCTATTATATGATCTACATATTTATGGTTCAAGACAGGGCATTCACACTAGATGGCTATTGTTGTGTTGGCTGTTGTCATTTTTTTTTATTTGACAATCCAAGGGAAAAGAGGGCAATGCCCCTGACTAAATAGTCAAGTATCGTTCTCGTGGCATACCGGTTAAAGCTGCTGCTCTAGGAGAATGCGCCATGTGGTAAGAGCACTCCATAGAGCACTGTGAGAACCAGAGGGCAGTACACCCAGAGTCAATTATTATAAATAATTTAGATGATGATGACCTCATAAGAAAAAAAGTAGCATTAATTCATGTATCAATAATGGGACATCTGATCCTAGGTCAAGGACTCCAAACGTCTATTTTAACTTGGGAAACAAGCCTCTGAAACTTCATAAAAACATCTTAGTGTGACTTCCTTTTATGAAAATACTTCACACATAGTAATAAATGTTTTCAAGACTATACAGTTAGGCATACTGATCCTTTCATATATCTCAGTCACATTTCCAGCATTTCTTCAACAATGGCTTCCTGAGACCCACTTACCTGGTGAGCTACGTGTGGGGCAGACTTGTTAAGAAGTGAGATTGAGAGATTAATCTCCCTGGGGCACAGTGGGGCACCCATGGGAGAACTATTTGCTTGCTCAGGTGCATCCATATTAGCAAGAAGGAATTATACCTAATCCTGATCTTCACTAGTTCTGAAGAATAAAAAAAATTTTAACCATGAGCCCCTGCAATTGTTTATTTTTAAAAGAATTCTCCTGCTGTAACAAAACCACAAAGCTGTATTTCTTCTGGCATTCAGTTTCAAAACTCTTAATGCTTTTTAATCCTTGTTGGAAATTTGTAGTTTGGCCCTGGACAAAGACTTCCTGTAAGCCTGCTTATTTCTCAGTGGGAGGAGAAGATATTTACCAAAGTCTTCTCAGGTCCAATTATGTCTCTGATGAGTCGGCACCTACGGATGTCATCCTGGAGATCAGCACCAACTTTTACCTTAAACCTGTAAAATTTGGTTTGATGGTTTATGTGCCCTGATTTAGCAAAGATAACTGGATTCTCTGCAGAAGTGACCATCTCTGTCAATAATTCACAGATCACATTTTCTAGTGACTTCTTGCTCTTTCCCAATCTTCAGACAAATCACTTGAGAATAAATCCTACAAATAGTATCTCTTTTCTCACTATCACAGGGCAATGACTATAAATTACCTACTGACCTAAAGTTAAGAAACTGGAGAGAGCAATTAGACTTTAATAACATTAACTGAGTTTTTGCTGTGCCATGAAAAAGAATTAAAGATGACCCGGCTGGTATAGCTCAGTGGACTGAGCACAGGCCTGCAAAGCCAAGGGTTGCTGGTTTGATTCCCAGTTGGGGCACATGCCTGGGCTGCAGGCCAGGTCCCCAGTATGGGGCATGCAAGAGGCAACCACACATTGATGTTATCCTCCCTCTCTTTCTCCCTCACTTCCCCTCTAAAAATAAATAAATAAACAAAATGTTAAAAAAAAAAGAATTAAGGATGAGAAAGCCATAAACTTAAAGAGGAGAGAGTGGACTGGGAAGGAGAGCCGAGTGAGCCTTCCTGTCACACCCTGAATGAAGAGTAGAGTTGACAGAATATCCCTGTCTGCATGGTCCTTTACCAGAGCAGAGGGCTTCATCCAAAATCAACTCAGTGAGTAGTCGGCCACAGGGACCCCATGGTGCAGGGGCCTTGGTCACATAACTAGGGAGCAGCAGAGGTCTCCTTTACATCATAGCTGGCCACTGCAGGGGCTCCCTTAATCTGTTTTGACTCCCAACTGCTCTCCAGACCTGGGCCTCCACACTGCTCCCCATGACTCTGCTGAAGTTGTTTTGCTGGTCAGAAGAGGTGTGGTCATTCTGACTATAACACTGCAACGTGCAAGAGGTGCCACTACCACGGGTGAGGCTGGTATCCTCTCCCTTGTTCACCAGCCTCCCTGCCCTGCACACTCAACATCAAGTCTGCTGCTCCAGATAGAACCTGAGGTCCTCTCTCTACTTTGTACGATGCCCACCCTCCGTGCCAACAAGAGAACCTGCAGAACACCACACACACTCAGGCACCTGCTGCCATTCTCTCCCCTCTGCTCAGCACAAAACACCTTTCTATCCCAGAAGAGAGCTTCAGCTTCTGGATGTGGGCTTCTTGTGATGGGAGGTCTTTGCAATCTCCCCTCAGCCCTCTCTGACTCACCAGATATGGCTGTGCCAACCTTTCCTGGGTATGTGCCAGAGGGAAGGTGCCAGCATGTACTGAGCACCTGCTGTGAATCCTGATTGTGCTGGTCCTTTTCAGATAGCAACTTTGAGGAGAATCATGAGTTAATATTATTCCCTATTTATAGAGAAAGAACATGAGGATCAGAGGGGTCAAGCAATTTGCCCATAATCACACAGCAAATACTAGCAGGCAATGAGGGAAAAGGGTAAGATTTGATTTTGAATCCATCACATGTGTAAGCCTCTTTCTATCACATCATGCTGCCTCCTTCAAATTCTCAATCACCACCCTGCATTTAGCTGAGGGGTTCATAAGAATTCTGCTGCCTCAAACAAACACACATCACCCAGGAGTCATGTTAAAATGAAGATTCTGATGCAGCAGGTCTGGGGAGAGGCCTGAGAGTCTGCATTTCTGACCAGCTCCAGGGGATGTTCATGCACCTGTTCCACAGACTACACTTTGAGCAGCAGGCAGCCAGGTGGCCAGACTGACTGAGCGTCATGTACAGCCTGGTGATTTTTCCCAGGCCAACGAGCCACCTTTAGCTACACTGATGGACTCACACTGACTATATGAGGAGAGGATGGTCCCTTTGTGTCCTGTACTATGTCAGAATCCAGGGCCACTGACAACTGGTTTACCCAGAGGAAGACACCAGGGGTGCCCAGGGCTCCATAACCACGCAGGAGGGAGATAGCAGAAAAGGGCAGATGGTTAGTCTGGTTAGAACATGGCCCAGAGGAAGAGACGGGCTGTCTCAAGAGCCTGGCTCTGGGAAACTCTGTGAAGATTTGGGACTAGTGACTGAAAGTTATATGGAAACAAAGGGCTTGAGACGTTAAAGCTCTTTCCAACACTTGAAGCCTTCCAACAATGCAAAAGTGCCTTATAAAGTTAAGCTCGCTGCTTCTGGAGGTTTTCAACTAAAAGTTCAATCAATGCTTGTTAGTGATAATAAAGAATGGATTTCCAGTGGATTTCTAAGAATTTGCTTACGCTGAGTGGTGCTTGAAACCAGTGATCTCCAAGGTCTCTTTCAACTCTGATGTTCTATGATTCTAATTAGGACTCAAGTCTATCTTTTTTTTTTAATCCTCACCCAAGGATATGTTTATTGATTTTAGAAAAAGATGAAGGGAGAGAGGGAAAGAAACATCAATGTGAGAAACATTGACCAGGTGCCTCCCATATGCTCCCTGACCAGGGACCGCCCACAACCCAGGTAATGTTTCCTGACTAGGATCGAATCTGTAACCTTTTTCTGGTGTATGGGACTTTGGCTCCAACCAACTGAACCGCCCGGCCATCACCTCACCTCTTATCTTTGGAAAAAGAGCATGGCCTAAGCTGAAATGCCTCTTAGTGTATCTCTACACACCAGACTGCTCTTGAGAGAATCTTGGCCTTCTTAGTGCCTCTTGATCCTGGTTCCTTTCCATTGCTGAGCCTCTCATGCTGCCTGTTGGAAGAGTCAGGTTCATTATCACACAAATAACTTACCTGGTCCAGCCGCTCTTCAGGGCCTCCATGCAGAGCTGCGGGGAGAGGAGCACAGCCATCAGCATACACTGAAAAGCTCTCTCGGTCTATTGAGCACCTCAGTAATTTCTGATCTGGTTTCACAAACACTGGTTTTAGCAGGAACCAGAAGAATAGCCATGTGTTGTTGAAATTCAGAGCAGAAACAGCTTAGCCAACAAGCATAACTCTTTGTACTCACAGGATAACTTTTTTCCTCGTTTCTATGGTAACTGTTTCTTTAATTGTCACAACATTCCTGGAGGGGGAGTGGAGCCTTTATGTCCCTCTTTTTAAAGCTATATTCTGTGGCATCCACAGAATTAATGGATGTAAGGGTAAGAAACAGTATCTAGTCTCTCTCTGACCCAGCTGTGGGTGAGTATGGTAAGATGGAAAAGAGTGATAAGTCAGCCACACGATGACTGTGCTGCAAACACCACACAGTTTACAGCATTTTTCTGAATCCTCATATCCAGCCATGAGGTAAGAAAATATTTCCCCATTTCACAGTGAGGAACCTGAGACTCAGCTTGATGATGTGTAACCTGCACAATGTTACATTGCTGCTTCTGCCTGGGAATCAAATCCTAGGCTTTCAGAACCCAAAGTGGGAGTCACTGGTCACAGAGTCCCAGTTGTCCCGTGTCAGAGTCCTGCATCCAAAAAGTGAATGGCTTTGCTTTTGCTTGAGCAAAAGTACTTCCAGCGTGAAGCTTCGGAGCCATAAGGATTTAGAAAGGCTAACAAGAAAATATTAAAACTCTTCCAGGAAGCCAGGAATATAAAACCTGTCTACCAGATTGGGTTCAAATGCCTACCTGCTTCAGCGTGTCATCTGAGTACCCCAGCCAGGCGCACGACGTGGTGTAGGCAGGGTAGCCATGCATTAGCATTTGCTCTTCTGTGGAAACACAATGCTCGTCAACACTTTGTTCTTTCCAGGGGCCTTCAGAATTAGATTGCCTGTAGCTAAGCTGCTGCTCCTCAGAGAATCTCTTTCTGATCCTGCACCCAGCCCCTAGTCCAGCTCTAGGATGCATTCAAGATCATGCACATTCTGAAGATGTCAAACGGGGGAGGGGGGGTGTTACACAGTGATCAGGATACCCTCTAGGACTGCCCACTAGCCAAGGGCCTCCCCGCATAGTCAAACCACACTCAGGAGGCTTCTTTGTCCAGATTCAACTGGCTTTTGAGGACCTGGCTGCTGGGCATGAGGCATTTGGGAGGACAATGTGAACCCCAAAAGGACAGAGACAGTCAAAAGTAAACAATGATAAAAAATAATGCAGGAAATTTCCTCATAACCCACCTCTCTCTTTTTTACCAACTTGACCTTTCTGCAGTATTTCTGGAAAAAGTAAAAAGCATCATCACTCTCTTAGACAACAAATGCTACATGCACTATGTGGTTTACACATCAGCATGTACCAGAGAGCTTCCAGTTCCATCACCTGAATATGACTCACCGTAGGCTTCCTCTTCAGTCAGGATGTCAGTGATGTACCTGAAATCGATGCAGGATAGCAGCATCCTGGGATCCTGGCAGCGTGACAGGAAGGGGAAACGGCTGGACTCAATTCACAAGTGGATTGTGCTCACACTGATACATGGGGCTTATCCTTTTGGGGAAAGGGCCTTTGGGATTTGTGTTACACTGTTTGATTCCATCACCCTTGGTGCAGAGTCCTTCTGAGGCTCATTGCCACCTCCTGATGAAGTCCTTAGGCCCTCATGCTTTGACCCCTTGCTCCCTCCCCATCCCTCCTCTCCCTCCCCATCCCTCCTCTCCCTCTAAACCTAGGCTCCTCATTCCAGGCTCCCCATTCTGGGCTCTGGAAAGGGGATGGGGTGTGAGGCTAGCACAGTTGTCTCTTCTATGGGACAACTAGTTAAGTGGGTAGATGAGCGCATGATGTCACTCTCCATCTCTGCCTCCACACTTCAGGGCTGACCGTTATACTGGAGCAGCTTAGAGGGGGAGGAGAGAAGGCTGGTCTCAGAGCCAGGCCACTCAGTGTCAGCCCTGTGCTCACTGTTTACCAGCAGCATAACCTTGGGCAATAACCTCTCCTCTCAACTAGGGGTGATCACTTGGCTGACAGGAGCAAAGTGGATTGAGTATGAGTGTGCCCAGTGTGCTGACTCATCACTGGATCATCACTGGCTGTACTCTCCTTTCCCCTTCCTGCCCCAGGCTCAGGCTCTGGCCACGCTGGGAGGACATTCAGTTAGGCCTCTGGCTGAGACCTCTCCCCATCCCAATGAGCAAACACTTAGGAAGTAACTGGTAGCTTCCCCACTCAGGTTTTACTGTGACGAATAATACTCTACTATAATCGTTAAAAATCATAAAAGAACTTTCTATGTTGAGATTCTGCTTCTTTTATGAGTACTAGCATTGAAAGAGGAAACAGAATCTAAAAGAAGAAATCCACAGGTGGGATTTCAGGCACCTCAGGTCATTCAGTTTTGGGGTCTCCTCTTGCATTTCTCTGAAAGGCTAACCTTGAGCCTGAAGGTGGCTCAAGAGGTCCCATCCTTCCCCTTCAGATGGTCCCCCGATGCCGCCCATAGCCATGTCAGAGAGACGGTATGATATCCTCCTGTCTTCACTTTCCTCCAGAGAAGGGACAACGTCTGCTGGCCCAACTGTCTTTAAGGCCACAGTGTCCTCTTTTCTCCTTAATTGTGATGCCAAATAACAACAGAGGCCTTCATTTGTTGATTGCAAGAGTTTTAGTGACCATCACCCTGAGGCAGCTGATGCTCAGAGGTGAAGTGACTTGTCCAAGGTCACCCAGCCAGTAAGTGGTAGAGCCCGGATTCAAAGCCAGGCCTGCCCGATGGTGCAGATGCTCATCCCTGCTATAAACAGGTGGAGGGGAACATAGAGTGAGGTGTTTATCTTTCAGTGTTTGGCTCCTGCCCTGATGGAATCATATAGTGCAGACACAACGTTCTCATCCGTCACTTTCTTTCAAAATCAAAGTGACCAAATAGTATGTTAACAATATCTTGCTCTTCAGGGTTTATAAATCACTTCTCTCATTAGTCCTTGAACCAATTCTTCCAGGTTCCCAGAGAAGGTATGATCATCCCTTTTTCATAGTTAGAAAACAGAGGCTCTAAGAATAATATGAAAGCTCCACAGGGCGGGCGGGGAACCTAACTCCGTGCTTCCCATGGGGCCACCCAGTGATCCACAGACAGTCCTGACTATATTTACTGATTATCAAAGGGCAAGTAATCTATAATATCCACTTATTTACAGAAACAATTATAATGTGAAAGAATTTACTTACCATGTCAACAAGTAACTTCCAGAGAGGCTTGAAGAAAAGAAGATTTGTAAACCATATGCATCACATGTGAAAGTAAATGTGAACTCCGCCCATCAAACACCTGCCCACCTGCCCACCTGCCCACCCGTCTCTAACACTGCCTCCTGGCTCCTCACCTCTGACCCTTCTGCCCCCACTTCCTTCTCAGTCTTTTCTGACTTCTATGATCTCCTAACTACTGCCAATATCTCTAAGGGAGAAAAAAAAATCAAACAATTGCCTGTGCTTCCTTTGGGGGCCTGCTGTGTATTTGTCTTTCAGGCTGCGTGTAGAGGAAGTGTTTATTCCTCTGCACAGGCTGTGCTGTTCCACAGAAATGCCTGAGCGAGTTACCTTTCTCTCCTGCTTGGCCCACAGGTCCCACACAGCATTGAGAACAGCTGCCGTAGCCAGATGCACAACCCCTTTCTCTGGGCCGATCTAGTTAGGAAGCAAAACATACAGCACATCTTAGAAATGAAAAGCATATTTGGTCTCCTAGCCAGGGTCATATTTCAAGAATTAAAAGGCAGCAATTGAAACTCACTTAAAATGCTAAGTTTTGTTTTGTTTTGTTTTGTTTTGTTTTTTAAATAGTGACTACAGAAGAGTTGCATGAATAGCGCAAAAAAGCCCCTCCGGCATATGCAGGGTCTGGCAGAAGTAAGGCCTGCTACAGTGTGCTCAGTAGGGTAATAACATGGGTGTAATAATTTATAGTTTCAATTTGAACATTTCACCTAAAATGTCATATGGTGTGCTTGTGTGTGATATTGTTATGTTACAGAATTACATGCTTATGATTCTGTAATAAAAAAAGGGACTTATTTGTGCCAGACCCCTGTATATTTCTTCTCTCTCAGTTGTTTGTATGGAAAATAAAACAATAATTAATAAATAAAACATAAGAATAAACTCTGTTACATATACTCACTCACAACTGTAAACCTACTTTCTCGCCACTTTGTGTGCATATATACATTATATATAATAAATGCATATTTATAATACATATTTTATCTTTCATAAGTATATTATAAATAACATTTATTTTACTGAGCAATTTACGAGTAAGTCGCAGGTATCATGCCTCTTCAACGCTAAATGTTTCAGTGTGTAGTTCCTAAAAACAAGGCTATTTCTCTACATAACCACAGCACAATGATCAAATTCAGGGACTAGAACACTGATAGAATTCTAATACCTAAAAGACAGATCGGAATAAAATTCCATCAATGGCCCAAACAATGTACTTCACTTTATTCACATGTTCCATTTAGTTACCATGTCTCTTCAGTTTCTTTTTATCCTGAACAACTTTTATTTTAAAAATGCCATTGACATTTTTATTTTTTTAACTTATGTTTTATTAATTATACTATTACAGTTGTCCTAATTTCCCCCCCTTTTTTCCCCTCCACCCATCACCCCCCATTCCTTAGGCAATGCCCCCACTATTGTTCATGTCTGTGGGTCATGGGTGTAAGTCCTTTGGCAACTCCATTTCCTGTACTGTACTTACATCCCCATGGCTACTCTGTAACCACCTATTTGTACTTCTTCATCCCCTCACCTCTCACCCACTCTCCCACATCCCACTCCCATCTTATTTTGGACTCAGTGCTTCCTGGATTTGCATGTCTATTTCCTTTACCAAATTGGGGAAGTTTTCTTCCATTATTTTTTCAAATAGCTTTCCATTTTCTTGCTCTTTCTCTTCTTCTGGCACCAGTATGAAGTGAATGTTGGATTGCTCCAAGTTGTTCTACAGGCTGCTTACAATACTCTCACTTTTTTTTCTTTGATTTTCATTTCTTCTTGTTCTTTTTTTTTAAAAAGATTTTATTTATTTATTTTTGGAGAGGGAAGGGAGGGAGATAGAGAGAGAGAGAGAGAAACATCAATGTGCGGTTACTGGGGGTTATGGTCTGCAAACCAGGAATGTACCCTGGCTGGGAATCGAACCTGCGACACTTTGGTTCGCAAGCTCGCGCTCAATCCACTGAGCTACGCCAGCCAGGGCTGCTTCTTGTTGTTCTGATTGGTTGTTTTTTGCATTCCTCTTTCCAAATCATTAATTCTTAGCTTCATGCACTCTATTATTTTTTCCCTGTAAATTTTCTTTATTTCAATTAGTGTATCCTCCATTTCTGACTGGATCTTTTTTATGCTACTGAGATCCTCACAAAGTTCCTTGAATGTCCTTATAACCAGTGTTTTGAACTCTGTATCTGATGGGGGCTCAAAAGTTGGAACATTTTAGTTTAATTAATAGCTAATAAGTTTAGTAATCAATGCAAGTAAAGCTATTGTTCCAGGTAATGAAGGTATGACCCACCCTGACTCCAGGAGACCATAAGCAGTTCCACCTTTCTGCCTCAGGGGGACTGCAAGCAATTCAAGATGGTATCTGAGCCATTGTACCAGGGTGAGGTTATCACCACCCAGGACACAGCTAAAGACCATCACCCAGTGAGAGAATGCTGCAGTTTTTTAAATCCAATTAACTTTTCCCTGAGTTTCAAACCCCTTACACACACTTTGTTCTCCTTATAAAAAGGGTCATTTTAAAATGGAATTTAAGATGGTCTGTTAGGTTACAAACCTGCTGTCTTTTCAGATCTCCGGTTATCTGAAAAAAAAAAAAACCACCCATAAAGATTCAATCCTTGCCTCTGTGCATTGGGTCTGGTAGGTGTCAGGCAGCACGAAAACCAGCTTTTCCAGTTTTAAATCTGATAGACTGCTTATCTCTATTTTGTTTAGTTCTTTTTCTGGAGCTTTGACCTGTTATTTCATTTGGGCCATGTTTCTTTGTCTCCTCATTTTGGCAGCCTCCCTGTGTTTGTTTCTATGTATTAGGTAGAGCTGCTTTTGACTCCATGTCTTTGTAGTATGGCCTGGGATAGTAGGTGCCCTGAGGATCCAGTGACACAGCCTCCCCTATCACCTAAGCTGGGTACTTGAGGTGCACCCTCCATGTGGGCTGAGTACACCCTCCTTTTATATTTGAGCCTTGATTGCTGTTGGCAGGTCCATGGGAGGAATTTTCCCAGGCCAGGCAGGTACAAGGACTTACTGACCACTGACCACCAACCTCTGCCCTCTATGGAGTATCAGCTGTGCAAGAGCAGGGTGGTAGTGTTCCCACCACCTTGGGTGGTCTGTAGCTGACCCCTGGGCGCATGGGCTCTGGGGTTTCTTGGATGGTGCTGGCCAAGGTCAGCCCCCATCTGTGTTTTTCCAAGGCCATCTTGCCTAAGCTATAAAGCAATCTGAGATGGCTGCTACTTGTGCTGTGCTTGGAATTTCCCAGGCAAAGCCAAACTGTGAACTTAGGCTGGCTGCTGCTAGTATCAGGCCTGGGGCCACTTAGCAAGAGGTACATGGACTGGGGGTTCTCTGAGCCTGGCTATTGCTTGTTTGAGAGGATTTAGGAAGTTGTGAAGCATGAGCCAAGACCAGCCTTTCATATGGAGAAGCCACTATTCATATACAGGTCAGCCAGTAAGTTGGGTGGGATCGGGAGTCTCTGGGGATCTCCAGAGCAGGGCAACCAGTGTTAGGCAGGTTGATGGAGTCTCGGGTATGGCCCCAGCCTGCCAGCTCCATGGCTCTGCGGGCATAGGGCTCAGAAAAGGGAAACGGTCTCTTCCTGTTTGCCTTTCTGTTTGGGAGAAAGCTATCCCACAACTCTTGCCATGATGCCAGACACTTCAGTTCTTCCCTGTATGCCACTGGTGGCTTTCAAGCTGCTACCCCAGTGCTGGAGCTCAGAGAGAGTGACTCTGAGTAAGTCCACGTGTGGGTTCTTTAAGAGGAACTGCTTAGGACTCAAGAATTTTCTTCCACCAGCTCAATCCCTGCTGGTTTTTGCAGCTAAAAATTATGAGGACTTATCTTCCTGCCACTGGAACCCTGGGCTGGGAGGCCTTGTGTGGGGCTGGGGCTACTTCCTCTCAAGCTATCCCTCCCGAATTTTTTTTTAAATACTTTTTGGAAGACATGACCCAGTTCTTTCTTTCTTTAAGATTTTATTTATTTATTTTTAGAGAGGGAAAGAGGGAGAGAAACAACAATGTGTGATTGTCTCTCGCATCCCCTCTATTGGAGACCTGGCCTGCAACCCAGGCATGTGCTCTGGACTGGGAATCAAACCATTGACCATCTGATTTGCAGGCTGGCATTCAGTCCACTGAGCCACATCAGCCAGGGCTCCCTCACGAATTTTTATCCACCACATGTGGATGTGGGACTAGTCTGTCCCACATCTCCATCCCCCCTACCAGTCTGGATGGATGTGGTTTCTTTAATTATGTAGTCATCAAACTTCCATTCAACTCAGTTTCTGATGGTTCTGAGTGCTAGTTATTTGATAGTTTAGTTGTAATTTTGATGTGGTTGTGCAAGGAGGGGAGTTTTGTTTACATATGCCTCCATCTTGACCTGAAGTCTCAGGGCTTTTAACTTTAAGCACTTGGGGAATTTAGTGTCCGTTTGGCTTCTGCACTGTGAGGTTACCATGTTCCCTTTCTAATAAGGTGGTTAATATTGTCACTAACATTTTGGCACTCAATGAAATTCTTGCCTCAAACAATCATAGTTATGATGGTTATAATATGGTGATTGTATAATATTATCATTCCTTATATATTAGTTTGTGTTCTGTTGATAAGCTTTCCCTTGTTTGTGTACTATCTAAATGGACTCATGGATGCCTACGTTATTCAAGGAGTTATACTATCATATAATATATGATAGCCATTGCTATCATATTTATTTTGATACTTGAATTGTGCCAGATTTGGCCACTGGGAGCTTCTTCAAGAGGATTCCTTTAAAATCAAGTTTAACTTTGCAGAAGTTACAAATGAAATCTGCCACATTGTGAAAGAGCATTCTCTCGTGTTTTTCTCTATTCATAGACAGAAGACTGAGCAGAGTTAGGAAAAGACAGAGCCAGTGTCAGCAGACAAGGGCAAGGTCCTGGTTACATGACTGGTCTTAATGTGATAGAATCCTTTCTTTGGGAATCACACTTTTTTCATGCCTTGAACTTTGTGTTCAAATAAGATCTATACACATAAAGGGTGCTCTGGTCTCCTCTTCTTCTTTTTTAAAAGTCTCACCCAAGGATATGTTTATTGATTTTAGAGAGAGAGGAGGGGGGACAGAGAGAGAGAGAAATATCAACTTGAGACAGAAACATCGATTGGTTGACACCACTACATGCTCCGACTGGGTGTCAAACCCACAACCTAGGTATGTACTTTGACCAGAGATGAAACCTGCAACTTTTGAGGGTATGGGATGAGGCCCCAACCAACTGAGTCACTGGGTCAGGGCTGGTCTCTATCTTCTTAACTTCTCTTGTGTTTCTGTCCTTAAGCTAATAATACATGATCTCTCCACCAGGAAGTTTGCCCATTCAGTGCTTAATCCTCTAGAGGGTCAAGACCACTTCTTCCTATTCAGGGAGTGGAGATGAAGTCCAGAAGGGCTGTTATAGCTATCAGTACCCAAAATGTCCAGATTCAAGTCTTACAGAAAGGGATCAATTACCTCAAAACATGAATTATCCAAATGGTTCAAATCCTAATTTATCTAAGTTAAAAACGTTTTACCTTAACATTGTAAACCTGTCGTTATTTTTACATTTTCCACTAAGGACATGTTAGAGACATTAGTAACATTATTAATAGCAGCATTTTACAAAATAGACCCCTTACCCATCTGAGCTGCCCATCACTCGTGAGCTGCCTGTAGAAACCTCTGAAATCATCAACAATGTCTCTGAGGTCCTTGTTAAGCACGTGGTGGGCCAGGGCATTCACAGCACAGACAACTATAAAAGAGGATTTAATTCTCATGTATATTCTGGTATGAAGTCAACAAATTGAGACATGCAAGCACCACAAGCAAACTAATGTTGGCATTTTATGAAAATAATTTTAAATACAAAAGGTACATGCTTTTACAAATTGCCCCACACACAGCTTCTGAGATTATCACAGTCATGGCACACAGGTGGGACAGTGTAACCTGCACATTGAACTTAATTTGTGAGTCGAGAAAATACATTTTGGTTGGTTGCCATGTGAAAAACAGATTGTAGATCTGAAAATTTAAATCATGTTCCCAAATTATTTTCTTGTTCACTTTGTAAAGTGTTGCGACAGATCAAAAACCACACTTTGCTAGTTCGTTGTTCCAAAGGAAGAAGAGGATTAACTTATAGAATTTTTTAAATTGCCTTTTCATTATTGTCAAGTATAGAAAATATCTTGAATTCACAACATAATATGCTATTCAAGATGAAATAAAGTGAATATGCAATTAGCCTAATAGATATAAAATGTTCAAGTATACGAAAACACTATTCATAAACATTAAGTTTCTTACTATTGACTTATACTATATTTTTCATAAGTAATGTGAAGATTAAATTTAATCTGGGTCAGCATTACCATCAAGTATTTATTTTTGGTGTTTTACTTACAAAGGCTTTAGTTTTGTTATTCCAGATGAAAAATAAGTAAAGTAACAAATTGAATGGGAATTTCTATTCCCAATATCCTTTGCTCAGTAAAAACTTTGTTTATGTGTACATGGCCAAAATAATCAAATCACCAACTTACCCCAAAGCAATTATTTTATTGAAAAAAAATTTGATAAACTTGTTTTCTGGTGTTGCCATTGCTTCAATATTAAAATTCTCAGGTAATTTAATAGGATAATTGTTCAGGTGTAATTTTACTACCAATCACATCCTAGGAGAGAGACCCTTGAAAGTATTTGAAACATTCTCTTAGAACATGCCTAGCCTCTGGGTGAAATAGCTCTCAGACAATAATGTACTTGCTCCCCTACGGAGCACTTAGGGCTGAACCAACCAGGCTGTGTCCTCTCAGGGTTTTGTTAGTGAGATACAGAGTCATTGTAGTTCATATAGTCATACCCCAGAGTTGTGGGAACACAAAATCCTCCTCAGTCCTTGGTGGTTGGTGCTTGGATTAAAGCCATCTAAAGAGGAAGTCAGTGACTCAGACAGAGGTGTATCATTATCTACATCAAACCTTCATCTCATGGATGAGATGATTACTAGAAATCATTGACTGAAGCACACCTCTGATTTGTGTCGAAAGGGCAAATACATTAACTCAGGTTAAGGATGATCTCGTCTCTTACATCTCTCAGAGATGCACAAGCCACAGTAATGTATTCATCTAGAGTAGCGATTCTCAACCTCTTTCCTCTCATGGCACACATAAACTAATACTAAAATTCTGCAGCATAGCAAAAATATGTTAATTTTTTTGCCCATCTGACCAAAACAAAGCTATAATTTTGATTCATTCACACCAGACAGCTATTGTTTTGGCTGTTGCCATTTTTTTCCTAAAGTTATTTCTTAATTTGACAATCTGAGAGAAGAGAGGTCAGTGCCCCTGGCTACCGTATTTTACCATGTATAATGTGCACCCACATTTTTGGCCCAAACTTTCAGGAAAAAAACTTTCATATTAATTTTTTAATTGAATTTTTATGTATTTTATTTATATTTATAAACAAAACTGATTATCATACTCCAAGGTATTATTTTGCACATGGATATTGTCATTGCTTTCTAGAGTCACACTTTTAATGCATAAGCATAAATAAAAGAATTAACAATATATATATATATATATATATATATATATATATATATATATATATATACAGAATTAGTACTACCCATGTATAATGTACATCCTTATTTTTCCCTCAAAAATTTGGGCAAAAAAAAAGTGTGCACTGTACATGGCAAAATGCAGATAAATAGGTATTGCATGTTTTAAGCCATGACACACCAGTTGAAAATCGCTGATCTATAGAATGTGGCTTTTCCTTGCTCAAACTGAGGCCACTGCAAGAAGTTAACTAACTTTGGTGCATTTGATTGAAGTTTGGGTTGTCATGGTCTGATTCACTGTGGAGAAAAAGTCCACTTCAGGTTTGAATGTTTGATGTGATAGTTGGGAAATTCATCTGGGAAAAAACTGGCCCTTGAAGTCAGCTTCTTGCTGACTAAACCCAAGGGTTCTCTCCTGTAATATATCCATCCAGGACTCAATTCTGGGACCCTCCACCACGGGTGGTGGGACAAGTCAGTAAAGCCTGTGGATGACCACAGTGTCTGAACCTGAGTGCTGGTGTGAATGCTTAAGGCCGTTTTTGGTCTCTTTACAATTTTTTTCTTTTTCTTTTCCTACTTAAAAAAAACTGTATCAGTCTACTCTATACATTTAAAAAACCCCGTAACCTACCCACCCACTCTCCCTTCCTTTCTCTCTCCATCTTTCTCTTTCTCACACACAAGCACTCTCTTCATAGTAATGAGGAAAGAATATTTTCTTTTTTTGAATCATAAAAAAATGATTAGGTAAGTAATTTGATAGAAACTGTAGGAGAACAGTGATAAGCTAATGGGACTTTTTTCATCTTTAATGCGAATGCCCTGTAACACATTCAGTGAGACTGCAGTGAGTCACCTGATATATATACAGCAAGGTTAATGTTAAAATGGATACTGTCATGTTGTGGTCTGAAAAAGGCAGAAGCCAACAACATCACCGCAAAAGAGCCACTTATTAAAGTCACAAAGAGATGGAAATGGACTTACTTATTCCTGCCTGAGATGTCTCGGGACAACTGGATGGGGTGGGGGTAATGGAGGAGGGGAGGGGCTGTGAAGGCCCTAAAGCACTAACCTCAGCAACCAGCCCACAAGAGCTTCATATCTGTCTTAGGAGCATGCATCATTTACAGGGACCCTCCACTGCGAGTGAGTCAGCAAAGTTCAAAGTCTTGGCTCTTAACAGAGAGTAGTTACAATGGTCCACCCCATAACAAATCTTCTGACCTTTCTGAGTTTTTCACACCCTTATGGTTTGCAGTATGGAGAAAGCAGCTTTGTAAAGTGCTCAGCTTAGACCAGAGACAAGTAAAGTCATAGGAGAAGCTGAAACACAGCTCACGAACCTATCATGGTCAACAGTTACTGCCTTGGGAGAAACGTTAATAGTAAACCATTGACGATGAAGAGGTGGATAGGGAATTATGGCCGATTCTCTGTATCCTGCCTGTAAAATTTCCTGGTCACCCTTCAACACTCATCTCAAAGCTTCACCTCTGCTCTGAAGCCATCCCTAACTGTCCTGGACAATGAATTAGTTCTTTTTCCATGTAACTTGTACCCACTTTTAAAAAATAGTTATTTTCACACTGCACTATTATTTCTTTTATGTGTATCACCCTGAGAAGTTTATGTATCCCTTCTTTTTGTACGTTGAATTCTGCCCTCCTTCCTCTCTGTCTCTTTTTAATCCTCACTTGATGATATGTTTTTTTATTGATTTTTTTAAGAGAGAGAGAGGAAGGGAGAAAGAGAAAGAGAGACATCGATGTGAGAGAGCAACATCAATTGGTTGCCTCTCAAATGCGTCTGACCAACAGGGGATCAAACCTGCAACCTAGGCATTGCCCTAATAGGGAATCGAACCCGCATCCCTTTAGTGTATGGGATGATGCTCCAAGCAACTGAGCCATCTGGCCAGGGCTCCTTTCTCTATCTTGTTAAAATTATTATCTCCAGTGCCTGACAAAGTTTCTGACACACAGAAGCACTGAAGAGAAGTTGCAAAATGACTGGCTGATGGCATGACAGAATGCCTCCCTGTGGAGAGCTGGAACAGTGGCCACCTTGGTGGTATCCTCTTAAAGATCATGAAGGTTTTCCTTGGCTTTCTCTGTCTCCCCTCTCTCCTTTTATCTGCTTGACAATATTAAAATCTTTTAGTGGGGCAAGACTTTGATTCTACAACTAAGAGAGAGCTGACAGTGCAAATATTAACAGGAGAAACACCACCAAAGTTAAAGAATCTGTGTCTGCCCTTCCCAGACCCCAATTCTTAAACTTATCACAATTTGGTTTTGTCTCCAATGATACATTGCAATTGATCTTGCAAAGGTCATTTTTTGGTACTTCTTGAATTTGTGTCCTGTGCATAAATTATGCATTGAGAGAAAACCCCCAAATAATTTGCATTTAAATGCTCTGGAGAGAAAGCACTTTGGGCAGTGAGGGGGTTCTGTGTGACTCTCTGGGCCTCAATTTCCTTATCTCTGAAAAATGAGGGCCCCAAGACCGCCACTGTGCTTTGGTCCAGCTCTGAGAGAAGAATGACTAATTAATTCATGGCTCAATGTGCATCCTACACAACCTGCTCTTCCCGAAAGAGAACTCTGAAATTGGTTGGGCAGGGCCAAAGAGTAACAAATTTGAAGTTGACTCAGTATGAAGTATTTTGAAAAGTTAGACACTGTGCACATCTCCATAAGCCTCGCTGTGTGAGTGCATGTCTGCTCCTCTCAGTCACTTGCTTAGTTCAGGTCCTCAAAGCTCTGCAGAGAAATGGGCTGAGATTCGAGGATTTTCCTGCAGTCTATCCATGACTACAAGGAGAAGGGCCAAATACGGCCACTTTTTAATTTCTCCCAATGAAATACTCACTTTGAGCAGTAAATATTGAGAAAAATAAGGTCAGAACTGAAATCTAAAATGTAAGCATCCTAGAACTGTAAGAAAATGTCCAACTCACCAACTTCAGTGCCTTTTCCCAGAGTGAAAGTAATTCCGTGCCCCTTGAGTCCATCCTCTGCATCAGTCTCTAAGACGACATAAGCAGCCGAGTAGTCAGGGTCTGTGTGCTGCAGGGAAAATGTCCCCCCACAACCCCATACAACACACATGAGAAATCTGAAACCTAACACTGACATCTCTAAGAATAGAAACTGCAATGGGAGACATGCAAGAAAAACTCCAATCTAATGGAACTCCGGATTTACCCCCCAAAATGTGGGCACTCTGAATGGACAAAAGTGACATTCTCCCAAAGGAGTCAAATTACTTTAACAAGTGCAATGTGTATATTTTTAATGCCATTTAAATGTCCTGGAGAGAAAGTCAGCTCAGTTTTACACCCAGGAGTTTCACCCACAGCTATTGGTCAGCTCTTTGAATAGTTACCCAAGCAGCTTCAAATTCTGAAACCTAAGGTTTAAGAAAGTTCTCTTATAAAACTGGAAAAGACAAAGGCATAAATTCCAGGATTACTGAGGAAAAATGAAGAATTAAAACTTGAAGACAAATTAACCTGTTTTGTATTTTGTTCTTTTAAAAAGAACTTTCTATCAAAAGGCATTTTGATAATAATCATTTACTAACCAACGATTATGAAACCTACACTACTTGTCAATACCGGGGATGCAGAAGTAAAAAACCACAAATCTATTTCTAGAAATTTCTCATACACTGGCAAAGAAAAGTTAATACACAAGAACCAGGCGAGAACAACTGCTATGACACTACAGGTTCTATGCTGATGTGTGGTCGGGTAGACGTATCACAGAAGTTCAAGGAAGAAGAGCAAAGATGAAGAAGGGGACCAAAGACAATTGTGTGGGCAAAGGGGCAGGTGAAGGCATGTGGAGAAGAGATTGATATGAAACTCAGAGGTCTTGTGAGACAGAGAAGTAAAAGGCCTGTGAGGGCACTGCTTTGTAAGTGAACAAAGACAAGATTGTATGGGTGGTGTGGGGGCAAATAATGAAGACCCCCCAAAAACCAGGCAGAAGATCTGAATGTGTTTAAAAAAATAAAAAGAATGTAGGATGATGCAATTATTGAAGAAATTTGCATTGGGATATTTATTACTATTTTGTTGTTATATAATATTTATTATTATAGGCACATTATTCTGAGAGCTTTACATCATTTAACTTAATTCCCACAATAATATTATAAAGTAGGTGCCATCATCCCTATCTTACAGATGAGAGAACTGAGTTTAAGAAGTGGAATTGAAATCCCCATGTTCAGGAGGAAGAGGAGGCATACGTGATGACAGGAGGCCTGTGGCTGGCGTGTGGAGGCCCAGTGAAGGGCAGTGGGTGTGATGGTGTGGTGAGCACCAGCCACGTATCAGAGATTGTGCAAGTAGGTTGCTGAGGGGCAAGACATGTCTGCCCTTGAAGAAGTTCTGGTTTAGAAGTCATGGTTACAGAAACTCTAATACTTCAAGGCAAAACATGGTAAGCCTGGTAAGCCTCTGAGAGAGATGCAAATGATGTGCAAGCCAGACAGTGAGCACTATTAGCTGAACGCACTGGGAGTTAAAAGAGCTTTATTTTTATTTGTTTGTTTGTTTGTTTGTAGAGAGAAGGGAAGGGAGAGCGAAAGAGAGAGAGAGAAACATCAATGTGTGGTTGCCTCTTGTACACCCCCTACTGGGGACCTGGCCTGCAATGCAGGCATGTGCCCTGACTGGGAATTGAACCTGTGACCCTTTGGTTCTCAGGCCCAAGCTCAATCCACTGAGCTATACTAGCCAGGGCTAGAAGAGCTTTATAATGAAAGAAGAATCTGAGCTGGGCAGTGGAGGATGGGGAGCTTTGCAGCAATGGGAAGGGGCATGAAAAATCTGGGAGGAAAGAATATCTTATGTCAGGTGAAGATAGGGAAGGTGCAGAAAAGGGGAAGGCTGGAGTATATTTAAGAGTTGGTGACTACTCTGGTTTGGCCTAACCATTGGGTTCCTGAGAGAGAAGGTGGGACATAAGGCTCAGAGGGAGACTCCAAGAATTAAAGACCCATGGAAGTTTCTGGGCTACATGGAGAGAAAAAGAAAACCCTTCACTGAAGCCTTCAGTGAGGGTCAAAGGAGGAGCTGAGAGTGACTTGAAGCTTTTGAGTCCTTGTAACTGGCAGAATGATCCAGAAGAGTTAGGAGGAAGATCCAGGCAGAGTATGGAAGGTGATAACTTTGGATTTCAATGGATGGTGTTTAGCATGAAGGTGAAAAACTCAACAGGAAGTTCCCAAATGGTAGCTGGACTTGAGGAAAGAGGGAAGATGCAGAAATGGGATGTGGGCATCTTTGGCATAAAAGTGGTGCTAAAACCATAAACATGGAGGGGGGTTAGTGGAAGAGTGCAGTGAAACTGGAAAGGCCAAGACCTGAGCCCTGGAGAGGAAAGAAGGGGTTCTGTATGGGAGAGGGAGAAGTTAGAAAGGCAGGTGGCCAGCGGGGCAGAGAGACGGCAGGAAGATGGGTAGCCGAGAGTGCATAAAGGGCCCTGGGAGCAGAAATAGCAAGAGGATTCAACAAGAGAAATAACAAAAGAACGAAGGAGACAGAAGGCGACTTCAGACTGAGGAGGAAGCAGATGTACAGGTCAATAGGAATGGACCAGCAATTTAGCGTTCAGTAGAGAAGGGGCAGAAACAGAAAGTGGTGGAGAGGTGTTGAGGTCAAGTAAAGTATGTTCCACAAGTGGCATGCCCTGTCCATGTGGATGGGGAAGAAACCATTGGAAAAGGAGAGACTAAAGATGAAAATACTAGAGATGGAGGTGATAAGAATGAGGGTCAGGGGGTCAAGAAGGGTGGCAATGGGGAAGAGGAGAATAGGTTAGTTTGTGAGGGCACATTTACTGAATAAAGGGGAAGAGGATAGGGTTGGTTTGTAGACTGATGTGCAGAGATGGTGCCAAGGGTGCATTTGTCTTCATTCTTCTTGATGATGCAGTGGGTATTGTCTTCTAACTGCTGGCAGGAGGGGGTAGGACCGAAGGCCAGAGGAGGAAGACAAGGTCTGAAACAGCCACTCCAGGAAGCTCAGCAGACAGTGGCGACAGGAGAGGAAAAGTATGGCTAGGAGGTGGAGGGAGTCAGTTGGAGCTGGGCTGTCAGCCCATAGCCCTGGGACTCTCGGACCTTAGAAAGGGCCTGGACAAGCAGGCAACGTGTAAATACACTGCAGGCCTGAGCACTCCATGTTTCTTAAAAGACGGATAAGAAATCATAACTGTAACCCTTTGCTTGAACTGATTTGGGGGACAGTTTCAAGGCTCCTGCATGAAAATAAACTGCTCGTGATCAGGAATGCTCACTCTGCTGCCAAGTGCTGAATGCAGCTGAATCACGGAGTCCAGCATGCCATGAGGGCACAGGAAGCAATCACAAGAGTTATGGCAGCGCCACCAAGAGCTGCAAAGGAGCACATTCTCTTAAGAAGGCACTTGAGAATCAGCATACAACATACTCCATATCTCTAGGGGATATATACTTATGGATTTATAAGTTTGCAACACAGGCGCCAGATATTTCCTGACCTGTATGTCACAGATCACTCAAAAGCAGAGATAAATTCCATTCTACAGTAAACCGGGCCCTTTAACACTTCACAAATTCAAAGTCGAGGAAAGGCTCAGTCAGAGCCTCTTCTGCTTCAGTTTCCTCATATATAAATAGTAATACAGCCAACACTTAGTGATGGCCTTTTCTGTGGCAGGCTCTTCACAGGTATCTCATTTACACATATGAAGTGGATCTCATTATACAGATGAGAAGACCTAGGCTGGGACAGACTGAGTTTCCCCTCAGCTAGTACACCTCAGAGAGGCAATGGCAGTTGCACTAGATCAGGCACTTGAGTTTTACAAGCCAGCAAAACTTTAAACATTTACTTGGAGATCCACAAAGGACTGCCGGCTGGGAGTTTTTTTATGTCATTTACTATAATACCATAATGATTTTAAAAATCAGGAAGAACTTAATCTCAGAATAAATGATTCTTTTAAATGTATAACTATGCTTAGATAGCATTTTTTAATGAGGACTATTTTTATAAAATATTTCAGGTACACAAGAACACAGGTAAGGCAATGGGCATCAGTGTGCCCTCCACCCTCTTAAGCACTGCATTACACTGTGAATTAGAGCCCTCAGGGGCCCATTCTCTTCCTTGACTCAGGTGACAAGCCACCATTATCCTAACAGGAATGTTTCTCACTTCCCAGCTTGGGTTCACACATTCATACCGTGCAACTTTGTTTTTCTAATGTAGCCATCTCATTGGTGGACTGAGTAGGGCAATGAGGATCCAGTGGGTGACAGGTCTCAAGATACCCTGCACAGAACTCGTATGTCTGGGAACCATTGCCCTAGACCGTGGGGGTAGGAGTGGGGGTGGGGGTCCTTTAACACTCTCAGTAAGCGAAATGCCCATCGGTATTTAGGTAGGAGTCACAGTCCCTGCCTCTGCTGCATCTTCGAAGACTGAAATTTGCATAACTCTTTACCGTGACAAGTCCCTTCTAACCACATTTTCAGGTAGTTTCATGACAGCCCCTCCCCCATGACTCAGAATTACCAGGAGCTTGTTTGTCTGGTTTCCTAGCCAGACTGTGACTCCTTCATTTCACAGATGGGCCCAGGAGGCCCAGAGACATTAGGGTCTGTTCTAGGTCACACAGCACGTTGTAGCGTATGCACCCGCTTCCTGGCCTCCTTCACCAAGAACCCCAGTACATAAGAAGCCAGTGTTGCATTCTAGGGTTTTGTTGGTGGAGCCCCAACAAACATGTAACCATTTTGCTTTTGTTGCTTATTTTGCATTCTACCATTTTCAGCAAAATGTGAATCATAATGGGAAAAACAGGAAATATTAAACGCCAGTAAAAAGGAAGTAAGAAAAAAGAAAAAACGTAGGAGGGTGGGAAGCTTCTGTATACCTTTATTCCTTTTCCAGGCCTCCCTTTACAAAACTCTTGCAAAATTGGCAACCTCCCCAGGACTTGCAGGGCTACCCAGGCCTAAGCAGGGCCCTGGCATCTGCCAGGCTGGAGGGCGCCCGAGGTTGGTCGGCACTTACCATAGCATCTGAGCCGTGGGCCCCGAGCGACGTAGGAAAGCGCACATCGTGGACCGAGAGCCGGGAGATCCTGCCCTGCACCATGTCACTGCTGCAGGCGCCCCGGAGCGGCCAGTACGATCAACTCAGATAGGGATCCCGTGCACGGAGTGGGAGGGAGACAGAGGGGGGCAGAGCCCAGCTCAGTGGATGCTAATTGGCTGTGAGGTCTCAGGACGGGTTAGTGCACAGGAAAAAGCCAGGACTGAGCAGCAAGTTCTGCTCCTGGGTCCCGAAACCCACTGGCAATCCCCGCCACGGTAGCACTGTGTGCTGACTAGCACTTCCGTGCGGAGCGCTCAGGACCGCGGCAGACTTTGGGGCCACAAGTACCCCGCTGGTCTCTGATCTGTCTGGCCTGCAAACTCTCGAGGTGACCTTCCCAGAAACAGCGCCTAAGAGAAAGAAGCAGGGTCTGACCAGAGTATGATCCAACTCCCAGAAGCAGATTCCCGCCACAAACTCCGTCCTGGAGTCCGCAGGTCGGGGGCCGGCCAGCCAGGGAATTGTGGCCTAGAAAATCGTAGATGTCTTCAAGCAATTTAAGCCTCAGGTTGCCACCTGAGAAATTAAGAGGCAGGTCACCATTTCTTACACCCCTGCTAATGCAAATTTAAATACATTACCTCTTATCTGTCCCACCCTTTAAGGTAATTAATTTTCATTTTACTGGTGAAGAAACAGGGATTCCTAGAAATTAAGTGATTTAAATGACTTGCCTAAGGCCACACAACTACGTGGCAGTGTCCTGACTGCAAACTCTGGGTTCTGTCCTCTGTATTGCAGGGACTCATTTTCGGAGCCATAGGATCCCCCTGAGAATATAGAGAAAGCTATGAACATTTCTCTGCTCCTTCCCCCCACCCCCTACTTGAGGTTTGCACACACCAAAGTTTTTATATCATAGAGCGCTGAGTTTTTGCTTTGCACATGGACATTCAGCTCCTACCTGTGGGGAATACTTTGAAGATTAAATACAACAGGAAACAGTGCTATGGAAGTTATATTATCTATTAACACATGTTTCTCTGGGCATGGCAGGGATGTTTTAGGGACACCCAAGTCCCCTCTGCTGCTCCAGGATGAGTATAAGCCTGTTGGATGAATTTTTCTCTTTTTGTTAAAGGCTGAGATGGTCTCAACTCAAAAGCACTAGGAAAGAAAGGAGTGAGGCAAAGGCGTAGCCAGTTAGCTCCAGTTGACTGTGGTCCTGTGGCAAGTAGAGCCTTGGCTTGCTGTATCTTTTCAGTTTCCAAGAGAAGTCTGACATTTAAGTGTCCTTTGTTTTTGCCTATCCTACACTACTCACTTTGTCATATAGTTATAGAGACATTTAACATAGGGATTAATATTTACTAACAGTTAATTGTAAGCTTCAGTCATTTTTTTTCTTGATTTTTTTTTCATGGCTGGAATATATGCTCTATTCATTTTTTTCCCCTTTTCCAGAATGAGTCTCTGACCAGGTTGATATATTCTGAGTACTTTATGTTCTGAAGATGTCTGTTTTTCTTTCAGATTTGAATGCTGATTTTATTGTATAGCATTCTTAGTTCAAATTAATACTTTTTAAAGAAATGTTAACTCTCATTCTTTAAAGAATAAACTGTTTTTTCCCCTCTGGAAATGTTTGGATTTTCTCTTTACTTTTATGGTGTTAAAATATTCTAATATTATTAGGATTAATTTAATAATTAATCCTATTCTACAACTGTTGGGTCCTTTCAACTAGAAACAAAATTTACCTGGAAAGTGTTCTCTGCTATTTCTTTTGTTGGTTTTACCTCTTTATTCTTCTGTTTTCTTCTTTCTGGAACTTACGTTGGATTGATATCGTACCTCTGAACCTATCATCCATACTTGATCTTTAAAAATTTTTTTGACTGTTTTTATCTGAGTTCCTTTTTCTTTAATATTCTAGCTCACTGATTTGATCTCTAACTGCGTTCATTCTTTTATTCAACCAAATTGTTTAATTTTTCTTTGGTGTTATTTTAAATTTTCAAGTTTTCCAAGTACCATCACCTCTTTTGAAAAAAATGGATGCCACATGGTCTTAAATAAAGGTTTTACTTGGTTCCTTTATTACATTTGGTTCCTCAAATGTTAGTTCTTGGTTGTTGATTTGAGTTCTTTCCTTCATGGTACTGGTTTTGTTCACATTAGTGTCCATGTCTGTTTAGTTATACTTAGTGTTGAGAATCACATTTTGTCTTTCTATGAAGTTAGATTTTGAAAACTTGTTTCTGGTGATTGTGAGGGGGTGGTGGGCATGTGGCTGCACAGCTGTGTTGGCAGTTTTTTGTCTAGGTGAGGAGGCTTATCTCCAACCTGAGCTTTCATTTCAGGGCTGGATTCTGGGAGGAAATGTCAGAATAAACTCCATTGTTTTGTTTTCCTTGTGATAATCAGGATTTACTTTAGGATCTGCCCTGCTTTTACCACTAGCCCCCAGATTCCATCTAGGAATCTCCCAAGGCAAATTGTGAACATTTTGGGGAAAATTGTTACTAATGTTATTAGTTTACTAATGGCGACAGGCCTGGATATCTAGCCATTCCAAATACTGCCATTTAATTTTTTTAAAAAACTATAATTAATAGCACTGTTATTTCTAGGAAACATAAAGTAACAGGGACAGGATTTAGTAAACAGATAAACAGATAAATATTGTTTATATATATTAGAGGAGGCCAATGTGGCTGTAGTTTGAGAAGCAGAGAACAGAAGGGTCCCTCCTAATCTTTGACTGAGTACTGATGTACGCATGAATTAGAGGAGAGTATTCAACATCACTAAACATCAAGGAATACGAGTCAAAATCACAATGAGGTATCACCTCATCCCTGTCAGAATGACTATTATCAAAAAGACAAAACAACAGCAATGACAAATGTTGGTGAGGATGGAGAAAAAAGGGAACCCTTGTCACTGTTTGTGGGAATGTAAATTGCTGCAGCCACTACAGGAAACAGGTTGGAGGTTTCTCAAAAAGTTGAAAATAAAACTACCATATGGTCCAGTAATTCCACTTCTGGGTATTTATAAGAAGAAAATGGTGACACTAACTTGAAGATATATACACCCCAATGTTCACTGCGGCATTATTTATAATAGCCAAGATATGGAAACCGAAATGTCCATCGATGGATGAATGAATAAAGACATCGTGGTACATATCTACAATGGATAATTAGCCATAAAAAGAAATAAAACCTTGCCATTTGCCATGACATGGTTGGACCTTGGGGGTATTATGCTAAGTGAAAGAAGCCAGACAGATAAAAGACAAATACCACACCTGACATATGTGTGTATGTGTGTATATATATAAATAACAAAACTGAGCTCATAGACACAGAGAACAAATTGGTGGTTGCCAGGAACAGGGCAGGGCAGGGCAGGGAGGTGTGGTGGGGAGAAGAGAATGGGTGAAGGTGGTCAAAAAGTTAAAGCTTTGAGTTATAAAATAAATCATGGGGATTTAACGTACCGCACGATGACTACAGTTTATAACACTGTATTGCATATTTGAAAGTTGCTGAGAGAGTAAATCTTAAAAGTTCTCATCACAAGAAAAAAATTTTATAACTATATGTAGTGATGAAAGTTAACTAGACATACTGGTGATCATTTGGCATATATACAAACATCAAACCATTATGTTGTATACCTTAAACTAATATGTTAAATTATAGCTCAATAAAAGAAAAAATAGTTCTATAGCTATGAAGAAATTTAATAATATAATTTAAATTCCAGGCCATTTCAGCTTCATCAAAGACCAAACAATGAGAACTATTTACCAAACAATAAGAAACAATAGTAATTCTAAGTAAATTCCTCCAGAAAATATAAGATGAGGGATATGTCCCAGCTTTTTAAAAGAGGTTAGTTAGCATTACTGACAAAACAAAGATCTTACAAGAAAAAAAAAACCCTGCAGACCAATATTCCTTATGAACATAGACACAAAAATCCCTTATAAAATGAACAAATCTGACACCAGCAGTATATACAAAAGACAATACATTGTGACTGACTGGAATTTATCCTAGTAATACAATGTTAGTTTAATATTTAGAAAAATCAATCAATGCAATTCTTCCTATTAATAATGAACTAAAAAAAGAGAAACTATTTGATCATTTTTATACAGGCTAAAAAGCATTTGACAAAACTCAAACTGATTCATGATTTAAAAAATAAAAAAACTTAGCAAAATAGCAATAGGGGAAACTCCCTCAGCATTTCCCTGTTACATTCGAAGAAGTTAACTCCTAGGTAGAAAAATTAATCAAGACACAGGGAGAGAGTTTTGAAGTTAAAGATGGAAACCAGCACTGGCTGGTGTGGCTCAGTGGATTGAACACCAGCCAGGAAACAGAAAGGTCACTGGATCAATTCCATGTCAGGGCACATGCCTGGGCTACAGGCCAGGGTCCTGGCTGGGGACATGTGAGAGGCAACTGATCAACAATGTTTCTCTCCCTTTCTCCCTTCTTTCCTGTCTCTCTAAAAATAAATAAATAAAATCTTTAAACACTTAAAAAATAGATGGAAAACAGTCTAGGGAGAGTGGTCAGGGAAAGAGGTACAATTTGATCAGAGACCTGAATGGAGTAAGGGTAAGAGACAAAGATGGAAGAGAGGAGGGATCCAAGATAACAGAATAATAAGTGCATGTTACATTCACCACCTCCCAGGATCAAACTGGAATTACAACTAAGAGTAATTGACCTGAATAGCTGAGGTCCAGCCTCAGCGGGGTCTCAGGGTCCCCAAAGGATGCACGGCTAAGGTGAAGCGAATGAAGCGAGACACCTGGTGGGGTGCCAGAAGACAGCCAGGCTTTTAGGGCCTGACTGACTCACCGAGAAAAATCAAACTTTATTTTTATAGGGGAGGTTATACAACATTCAGTGCATAGTGTGATTATTAAAACAGAAATGGTTACCATAGAAATAATTTCTACAAACACAGGTTTTACAGATCAGTCACGTTAAACAAAGAAATAACCAAAAAGTACAGAAGGTCCCATAGATCAACCATATTAGACAAAGGTTATTTTGACCAAGAGGGTCATTAATCAGATAGCCAACGAAGCTA